TCCATCTCTTTTCATTTTAGTTAAAAGTCTTATTTGTTAGATATTAGGATTGCTACACCCACTTGTTTCTTGGGTCCATTTGATTGGAAAAATCTTTCCCCAACCGTTAACTCTGAGGTACCATCTATCTTTGAAGTTGAGGTGTTTCTTTTATGCAGCATAAGGATGGATTCTGTCTTCATATATATTCTGTTAGCCTGTGTTTTTAATAGGCAAATTAAGACCATTAATATTGAGGGAAATTGGAGACCACTTCCTGAACATAACACCAGTGGCACAGACACTGAGATCGACAATTAACAAATGGGATCTCCTGAAACTAAAAAGCTTCTGTAAGGCAAAGGACACAGGCAACAAGACAAAAAGGCAGTCCACAGAATGGGAAAAGATATTCACTAACCCCACATCTGACAGAGAGCTAATCTCCAAAATTTACAAAGAACTCAAGAAGCAAGTCTCCAAAACACCAAAGGATCCAATTAAAAGGTGGGTACAGAACTAATTCTCAATAGAGGAGGCTAAAATGGCCAAGAGACACTTAAGAAAGTGCTCAACATCCTTAGCCATCAGGGAAATGCAAATCAAAACAACTTTGAGATACCATCTTACTCCTGTCAGAATAGCTAAAATCAAAAACACCTAAGACAATTTATGCTGGAGAGGATGTGGAGAGAGGGGAACATTCCTCCACTGCTGGTCGGAGTGCCAACTCGTACAGCCATTTTGGAAATCAGTATGGAGATTCCTCAGGAAAATGGGAATCAATGTACCACAAGACCCAGCAATTCCACTCCTAGGCATATATCCAAATGAGGCAAATTCATACAACAAAGGCATCTGCTCCACTATGTTCACAGCAGCATTATTTGTAATAGCCAGAACCTGGAAGCAACCTAGATGCCCCTCAACTGAAGAGTGGATAGAGAAAATGTGGTACATTTACACAATGGAGTATTACTCAGCAGAAAAAAACAATGGAATCTTGAAATTCACAGGTAAATGGATAGCACTGGAAGAAACCATCCTGAGTGAGGTAACCTAGTCACAAAAAGACAAACATGGTATGTACTCACTCATATATGGATTTTAGACATGGATCATGATAGTGCCAGTCTGAACTTCCACTGACAGAGAGTCTGGGAAATAGGAAAGAACCTAAGAGATGCATGGTACCCAAGAGAAGAGGAATGAGGCAAGATCCGCTGAAAAGATGGGGAACATGGCGACGGGTTGGGGGGGGGAGTAGGAGCTAGGAAGAAGAGAGGGGGAGAAGAGTAAGAGAGAGTAGGTCATGGGGGAACACAAAGTTTGAGTGGCGGGTAGAATAGGGGGAAGAGGGAATCATAGGTTAGAAAACAGATCAGGTACCAGTGTGACCTCTAGTGATCTAAACGGATGACACCAATTGGCAAGCTAAGCAATAGTGGAGAGACTACCTCGAATGCCCATTCCTGATAATGAACTTGATGTCTATAACCATCCTGGAGCCTTCATCCAGTGACTGATGGAAGCAGAGGCAAACACCCACAGTTAAACACTGAACTGAACCCAAGGAACCCAGCGACAGAGAGAGAGGAGCGGTGAGCAAATTGGCAAAGAACGGGCTGGCAAAACCAGCAGACAGCTAATCTGAACAGGGGAGAGCTCTCTGACCCCAGACCGACAGATGGGAGGCCAGCATGGGACTGATCCAGACCCCCGAATGTGAGAGTCAGTGAGGAGGTCTGAGCAACCTATGGGGCCCTGAGCAGTGGATCAGTGTCTATCCCTGGAATACAAACAGTCATCGTGTGTCCATAACACAAAGAGGGATGCTCTCTCAGCCTGGACTCTTAGGGGAGTGCCTGGACCCTGCCCTGAGTGAAATGACAGACTCTAGATATCCCCTATGTGGAAGGAAATGGTGATAGGGTGGGAGGCTGGGGGGGATGGTGGGGGAATGCGGAAGGAGGGGAGGGAGAGGGAACTGGGATTGACATGTAAAACAAGCTATTTAAAATTAAAATAATAATAATAAAAGAAAAATAAATAAAGTGGGATTTAAAATAAGTAAAATATTGAGGAAAGTTAAGGTCCATTGAGTGTTAATTCTTGTTTGTTTTGGATTTGGTGGTGGTGGTGGTATTTTGTGTGGATTTCCACCCCCTTTTTTCCTTTTGGCTGTTGGTAAGGTGGTATTGTCTATTGCCTATATTTTTGTGAGTGTAGTTAACTTCCTTGTGTTGTAGTTTTCCTTCCCAAACTTTCTGTAGGACTGGATTAGTGGATATGTATTTTTCAAATCTGCTTTTCACAGAATATCTTGTTTTCTCCATTTCTAGTGACTGAAAGATTTGCTGGGTATAGTAGTCTAGGCTGGCATCCATGGTCTCTTAATGTTGGCAAAATAAGTATCCAGGACCTTCTAGCTTTCAGAGTTTTACCCTGGTACTGGACATGTAGCATGTGTCTATTGCTCATTGTTGCTCTTATTGTTAGTAGCTTTTAAATTGTGTATGTTTACCCTTCCTTTTCCTGGAATATACTTGACATTTGTTATTGTATACAGTTTTTTGCATCAGGCTTAAAACCTTCTCCTTTATACTAAAAGGGGAATTGTAGTGCTATCTTGCCTGTGAACCTGTAACAGTGGCCACACCCTTTTGGCTGTAGCTTCAGGTGTTGATGGAATCAGAAGCATGAGGCAGGGTCTCTCTCTGGTGCTCGCTGTCTCTTGGGTTGGGGATTGGCTCAAAAGGACAGAGAAAGGCCTCACTTAGTGGTTCTTTATTATCTGTGTAGGCTGCTCCTTAATAAAGCACCTATTTATCATTTACCTTGGGTCCAGTGAATTCATTATCCCATGCCTTCATGAAGATACTTGTGGTAGATTGTTATATGTCTAACTTGTTTTGTTTTGTTTTTCCAGGCAGGGTTTTTCTGTGTAGCTTTGGAGCCTATCCTGGTACTCACTCTGTAGCCCAGGCTGGCCTCAAACTCATAGAGATCCGCCTGCCTCTGCCTCCTGAGTGCTGGGATTAAAGGCATGGGGCACCACCCAGTTGACAGTCTGTTTTTCTAAGACAATTTTATTGACCCCCTTCCTGATATCTTGCTCCCCCACTTTTTCCATTTAGTGAGGTTAAAACCATGAGTGGTCATCCTAGCCATCATGAACCAGTTACCTCTGCCCTTTTATTCTTACATTAACTAGAATAATAAAATAATTTCCTTCTGCTGTGGAGGGATGGTGAATTATTTTTGTGTATGGAAACCAGAAATGATCCTTGATCTTTTTTTTTAAGCTGAAGGATCTGAATTTACTTGATTGATGCATAAAAGAAACATTAAGACTAAGACCTCCTATAATGACCTATAATGATGAGAATGGCCAGGACCCCTCAGGTAAGTCTTAGCTAGATTTCCCTGCATAGGGCCCAATTTTGAGAAAATATTTTAAGTTATAAAAGTAAAAACTGTCATTATTGTAAATGCAAGAAACATGTAAATCTAATCAGAATTATGTTATTCACTTTAATTTAACAATTGAAATTTTTAAACATTGGAGGCTCATTTCTTTGTTGGCATTAAACATACTATGGTATTTTGTAAAAAAAAAAGTAGGTATAAATTATATAGGTAATATTAGGAAAGGATTTTGAAATTCTACTCTGCCTTGAGCTGGGTTTGTATATGTACTTCTAGTTCAGTATTGGCCCACTTATAAATCACTTTAATTTATGTGGTTTATCACCTAGACAGGTGTGAACATAGGTATAGTTCACATAGACACTAATTAGTGCCTTGTGTGGTACCATGTTCTAATGAAATGTGTTCTTTCTCACTTTGTAGACTGTGGCAGGGCACACCATTCCTCCGGGACATCAGGTATGTGTTTCTGCTACCGTCATTCAAAGACTGAAAATCTCCTGGGTAGAGAGTTTGGACTTTAACCTTCACTGCTACTTACAGGATAACCAAGCGTCAAGAGAAAAGTTTGCCTATGTGACACTTGGAGCTAATGTGATGACTGATTGCTTCTGTGATATATCTGTCCTTCAATAAACAATCCTGAAATTCATTTACCAGAGAGAGAAGGGGGAAGAGAGAGAGGGTGGAGAGAGATGGGGGCAGGAAAGAAGACAGATCTTTCTCCTCCAGGGGAACAGGACTGCACATTTTGGGGAACAGAATCTTTGTAAAATGGAATATTTCATAAATCTAAGAGTAAATCTTTGTATAAGGCTCATTTGATATCTGACCCATGTTCTTTCACTGGTTCCAAACATATGAAGACCTTGAGTTTTACATCATTATCTAATACATTTAACATAAGATATAAAGGATTGTAGATTAGCAATTGAATGGGCCATTAGCTCAGCAGTTCAGCTTCTGTAATGAGAGAGGAGGCCTCACTAAGCTGGTGTCTGTGTCCACTGCTTTCATGTCCGGGACCGCTCCTGTACCTTATGTAGCAACGGAACCCATTTCTGGACAGCTTTCATTATCAATTCTTTTAATGTCGTGTCGACAGACGGTCCTATCCAGTCTTGGCTTTTCTTCATCTGTTAGTATTTTAGAGTTTCTACAGCTAACATAACAAGATTGTCACCTTGCAGTTGTGGAGTCTCTGAAATGAAGGTGTTGGCAGGGCCATACTCTTTCTGAAGGTTTTGACGCATTCTTGCCGGGGGGGGGGGGGGACACACATGACAACCTCTCAATAAAGAAGTAAAACATTGGAAATCATCTAATAAATTAAAGATCCCATGACCTAGTGATTCATGTCCTAGGAGGCCAGGAAATTGTTTGTGTGTATTAGACATCTCAGAGGAGTGTTGGTAGCAGCTCTGACCCCAACAGCTAATACAAGAAGCAACCAAAGCTTCAGATACAGAATTTGCATGTACAGCTAGAGATAATTCTCCATGACAACAGAAGATAACTTACAGGTAGCTGTAGATACTTAGAAGAATGTCATATAAAGGTGAAGAAAATGAGACACAAAATACACAGATTGATAAAGTTATAATCATATACAGTTTAATAATTTATAAAGTGTTAGGAAAACTAAAGATTAAAAAAACAAAAACAGGAAAAATTATTCCCTTAGTTTCTAAGAAGCAGCATGTGACAAGCTTTTGGGATAAGGGCAAGTTCCACTTGACGGGTAAGTAATGCCCCCACATACTCATTTTATAATTTGTTATAGTGTGCATCTGAATTTTGAATTTTGTAATGAAAAACAAACAGCTATTTTTATTTTGGATTCCCCTTTACTTTACGTAGACATCTTGAGAGGATCAAAAGCCTTTTCTCAAAAAAAAAAAAAAAAAACCTTTACAATGAAGAAAAACCCTAAGAGCTGAACCATATAGCTATTTAAAACCAATTTGTCAACTATTAACACTGATAGTAATACTATCAATTATCTCCTGTATGCAATGAGATAATTTGCCTGAATAAAACATTTTTTATGGAGCAACAAACTGAATGCTCCCAGCTGGCTGTACATTCACAGAAGTGCGCATGCACACAGTTTGGCTTGCGGTGTCTTGTGCTCTGGTCCCAGTCATTTGAGTATTTAATGTGTGATTTTCAGCTGACACAGTCCTTATGTCAGCTTTCTGGAGACATTCCACAGGTGTTCCGTATTCACTGCCCTGTAACAAAAAAAAATGAAAAATTAAGTGAAGAGAGGTGTAGAGATAATGGAATTAACAACCAGGAAGTCTGAATGAGAAAGAACAGAATGCACATGGTAATTTCTTTTTTCTGAGGCAGGGTTTCTCTGTGTAGACCTAACTGTCCTGGAACTAGCTCATGTAGGCCAGGCTGGTGTTGACTTCTGCATCCCAAGAGCTGGCATTAAAGGCATGTACCACCACCAACAACAACAACAACACCCCGCCCCTGCATCTGTGACCAATTTTTTGTTATTAAAATTTCTCAAAAATTTTTGTCCCCAAAAAAAACCAATTTGTGTGGGTCTGTTGCAGACAGATGGGCCTTAATTTCTAAATATTGCTGTGAATTTCCTAGAAAGCAGAACAATCTTGTTTTGATTATTTATTTACTTACTCGTTGGGTGTGTCTGTGTACATGCTTCCGCTCCACAGTGAGCATGTGCGAGACAGAGGACAATCTGTGGGGATTGGTTTTCTCCTCCCACCATGTGGGTTTCAGGGTCAGACTGAGGTTGCTGGGCTGGGCAGTCAATGTCCTTACCTGCTGAGATATCTCTCTGGTGCAGAAACATTCTACACAGCCACAATACTCTTGGCAAGAGTGATGAACATCACTATGCTATCTAACATGGGGTCCTTACATAAATTTTCACCAAATGTCCTTTCCAGGAAAATGAGAGTGGTACTAGTAAGTCTTTGGCAACCTTGAAACATCTGCTGAGTACCAGCTAATTTTTCCTGTGTTCTTTAATCAAATAAACAAAACAAAGCCCCCCAAACAATCTTATTTTGTACTAATTTAAGCCAATGCTCTTGTATCCCCTCAGCTAGCCTGGTCACATGGTTAGGAAAAATGTGCCTAAAGGCAAGCTACAAGAGGCATTCCAGAAAAATCATTTCCACAACATTCTACTGTAATATCTATTAAACTTGAATAAAAAGAAAAACATTTGCAGGGATACTTTTAACTACGCAATTCTTTCTTCGAAGAGGGCCTTCCTGTGCAATTTCAAACTGACTACCCCTTTCAGTGCGGTATGACACTGGGTAAGTTAACTAATGGGTTTTTATCACCAATACCTTGACTACTGTTAGAATCATACCAGTTAAACATACCCTTTCTTCTCCACCTTCTGATGCTGTCTCATACTCGTAATCCCAATCAGACTCAGAATCTAAGGTTAAGAAAACAACCATCTGTAATTACACTTGTGCATACACATGCAAAGTAACACTTTTTAACTAAATGCTATTCCATTTGTTTAAATATTCCAGAATTATGCAACTTACCACTTGAATGCATTTCTCTGGTTTGGTGAGCATTAGAATATGTCAATCCAAGAATGGAGGACACCTAAATAAAGAAGACAGCAACAGAAAATGTAAGACTTTAATACTGATTTAGGAAAAAACCAGACCCAATGAGTCATTCACCTATTTTGTGATATAGTTAAGAGAGAAACAAAGACATCAATTTGTTCTGTCATACAGTCACAAATCACAAATAACAAGTCTGCAATTTTCCTTCTCGTGGATGTTGTCATAGAAAGGAACCCTCATGAATTACGAAATCACAGTAGGCTCCAGAACCACACTGGAACTTCATCATCTAACTCACAACAAGATGCCAAAGTGTAACTATGCCATGAAAAATGTCTCACACACTCACAGTGTTGAGAGGAAAATGACAGGAGGTTGAAAAACATATTCTATGAAAACCAGGTATCTGTTAGATTTTAAACACTGGGTCATTTCTCTTTAAAGAATGACATTCTTTAGTCAGTGACTGGATTGCACATAATGTTCTCTCTCAAAAGTCTCAGCTTCTGAAATATGTCTGGATTCCATATCTGAAACTTCTGCCGCGTATAGAATTTCTCCTGCATTTGTTCAATGTTTTCTCTAAACTGACTGACTCTTCTGGGGAGCACTCAGCCCCTGTGTCAATTGAGCTCCTGGGGGTCTAAAAAGGAGCTGATTACTGCTGCTACCTTTGCTGCCCCCTTCTCTCTAGGACCCAGAGCAGCCATCTACAGGAATTGGCTCTGATGCAACAAATTTTCCAGTTTGCTTATCCCCAATCAAATTTTCAATTTCTAACAAGTGCGATAAATTCTCTTCAGTGTTTGTGAGCTGACCTGAAACTCTGTTTGAATCTCTTGAGAGTGATGTTATGAGTTATTCTTTTACCTAAAGCATAATGATCAAAGGAATCAGTGAAATTTTATATGCATCAGATGCAGGAGTAAGGATGAACACAGAGAGCACAGTTCATGCTTCAATCTCACTTGCATGGAAACAGGAAAATCACCCACAGTCCTCACAGTTTCCACACACTTTTGTCCACATTGTGGTCAGAACAGGGAGAAGTGCACTTGTATTATCAGTTTTTATTTTCATGGCATCTTTGGTTTTGTTTAACACACACCTTTCCCCTCCATCACAGAGTACAGACTAAATGCATCCCCTCAACCAGTATTCCCAAGGGAAACCAAACAAGCAGGCACTGGTAAAGAAATATAACAATGGAAGTCTTCTTTAAATCCAAAAAGGCTTTCCCTGCCACTGATGTTTAAGGAACACATCTAGGAAATGCACTGAGAGGAAATGAAGAGAGGTAGAACTGGATGCATTAGGGGCTGTGTTGCTCATCTTACCAAAAGCCCTTCATAGTTTTCTGTTTGTTCTTTATAACCGTCTCGTTCTTTTTGGGACACCGATCCAGCTCCAAGAGCTTCAAGTTCATCCAAAAATCCACGGTCTCCACTGGCATGAATTAGATCAACTCTTGTCTGAATGAGAGTTGGAAAGAGAAGACCATTCAGAAACCATGAGAAACATGACTGTCCAAATCACTGCTACACTATAATATACTTTTGCTAAGGATGGCTGCCTCCAATCAGAGGACAAGTTGCCAGCGCTTGTTAAAATCAGCAAGGATGTTTTTCCGAACCATCACTTTCTATGAAGATAATAAAATCAATTTTCTGAGGATGAAGGTAAGTCATTTCATTAGTATATAAATATATGTGTGTGTTAACATATTTTATTGCCATTCAAAATTTTGAATTTATATCATGTTTCTCAAAGAGTGCCAGAATTGACTAAGATATTTCTTAGGTATTATAGGTGAAAAGTCTTATTACTATTTTAATATTTAGTACCCACAGTAAAATAGTTCCAAGTGCTGGTAGGAAAAGTCCCATATGTGAAAATATTACCACTTGTAATATAAATTACTTGTTATTTCTATTACTTTAGATTGTAAATACTGAGAAGCTAAAATTCTTTGTGTTGTATTTTGTGTGGTAAGAAATAACTATGGTTTCGGATCTCTACCTAATAAGATCTCCAACACATTTTCCCCCTAGAAACAATGAAATCTCACCAGGTATACAATTTTCAAGAGCTAATGACATTCCCACATTAACTTAGTAGAATATTACTGTGAAAACTTTTCACTTCTTAAAGGGATGGCTACAAAGGATATGTACTAGAAAGAATCTAAGGCAGTAAACCCCACACAAGTCTGAGAGAATACAGCTTCCATGTAGTATCTTCATATTTCTTTTGTTTCAGTAACTTTACTACTGGAACTGATAATCATATTTGAAGACCACAGAACATAGTTTGCACTTGCTTCTATAATGGTAATAAAACTACACACAGTGTTAAACATAATTTGACCTGTGTCTATAGCTCTTGTTCTAGTGTTGGGAACAGCATCTAATATAGTCTGTCAGCAAATGACAAGCCTAACATGGGAGGAATTTAACAGCTAAACCTCATGAGGCCAATTGAGAGCAGCTGGGCTTCAGGTAGCCAATCAGATCACCCCAAACACTTTTCCATGACCATTCAAGGCACCCTGAACCTTATTGGGAGTTCTGTCTGGAAGTAACCCCATTGTCTCAGGGTGGAGCTTTCTGAGCCCAAGTGCCACAAAATTCATGAACCACAATTCCAGATTCAAATGAACTGAAGCCTCTCCTTTAGGAACAGTGTATTCTCCTGAAGTCTCACTAGATATAAGTTGTTTGATATGAACCAAATACCAGACTTATCAGGAAAATATCAGTCAACTTAATAAACAAAAATAACAAGTTACCTAGAATATTTAAGTGAAAAATAATAACACTGAAAACTAACCTCAGAGATATTCAAATCTTGAATGAAAACTAACCTCACATATATCCAAATCTTGAAGGCTTCTTTCGGTTTCTTTAATCTCCTGCCTTTTTGTAGTGTCCTTGTCTAGAGGCATCTGTAGCTTCAGTACTTTTTCTATATCAGAAACCCTTTTCTCTGTAAATTCAAATTGTTGTTTTTCTTTAATAAAACTAGAATGCATTTCAGCTACTTGGTTCACTAACTGTGCTAGTCTCATAGTTAATGTGTAGATGTCTATAACTGTGTTGTCTCCTTTCAGAGGATTTACATTGTGCCTATCTCTCATTTCCGGTTCTGATGCTCTCTTCTCTTGGAAGTACTTCATGTACTGCTGAAAGGCCTCCATTTGTGCTTGACTAACGATGGCTTCAGCTATTTTCTCTACTAGTAAATTCTGAAGATTTTTAATCGTCTTTTGAAGCATTTCTGGTTCTGACTGGCCTTGCTCCAATGGTAGCAATTGTGTTTCTAGACTTCTGTAACCTTTGCAGTTTTGTTTAAGGCCACCGACAGGAGTCAGGATCTTTAGAAGCTCAGAAGAGTCCTGGGCAGAGACATCTTCTGGCTGCAGTGCATCATCCTGGAGCTCATCGGCAGCCATGGCAACACTTTCCATAGGTACAGCGTGCAGTTGCTCCTGGTCCATGTGTCCTTTGTTCAGAGTTTCTGTTACAAAAAGGTTTGTGAGAACAGTGTAGTAAATACAGAAGAGTACATTTTTGTGATTAGGAAAAGATCAGAGTTCAATTGAATTAAAATATAAAATGCAAATAAATCAGAGCATGTTTTATTGTAAATTAAGCTGTGTTCTGTTAAGAGAAAATGAAAGGAACACAACAGGCATCTATAAATTAGAAAGATAGTTGAAATCAAGGTTCACCCAAATTTTGAGTTGTGAGTCTCCAGCCCAACAACAGTGCATGCCACTGTGCACACACCTGCTCCAGGAGCTGCATCGACCACAACATCTGCTGGCCCTAGGAGAGGAAACAAAACTATACTCATGTCTCCATCTCCCTGAAATACAATAATTCACATCTGCACACATTAAAATGCTGATGTCATTGGTTGTCACTGCTACCCACAGTTCCACATGTCTTGCATATGCTGTATGTATGACATGAGACCTTTAATCCTTAAAAATTCCAGCCCTAAACCTGTGCCAGACTAGTGAGAGCACTCCCCCAGAGGAGAAAATGGAGGTTTTATTTCTGTGTTGATCAAACTAGAGAAACTCCAGATTTATAGATACTAATTTGCATTTGAAATCAAAGGTTCAATAAGCAGGATTTAAAGTTCGCAGTTACAAAGATAGACATTTCCCACTCAACAAGCTTTAAAATCAAGATATAACAATCAGCCACTATGCAGTTAAATGTTCTGTGAATGCTTCTAAAGGAGATGTCAGATGTCTTCTGCTCTCTCTGGCTTGCAAGCCCACACTGCCCACACCTGCCCATGACCAGCAGCATATGAGGGTTCACAACACACTCATGATCTCTCTCCCACTAAAAGATCTCTCCTTACCCATTTCCTAAACATGCAGCCTCAATAATGTAGCTTTTTTCTTTTTGATACAGATGATTAAGCATAAATAAAGAATTCTATTTTCCTGTTAACGGTTAACAGCCTTTAAAGACAAAACAGAAAATAGGATTTCATAAAAGTGGCTAATAACTCTTTCTTATACTTTCTTATGATTTTTCAAGTTTGTCTGTAAAACATACAAATAACAGCACTGGAGAGGACAGTTTGTCACATGAGCATCTGAAGAGTAAAGACAGGAGAGGAACTATAAGACACAAAGTCTCAGTACATACGCTGCTCCACTGGGCCAGCCCCTGCTCCCATGGCTTCCTCCTGCCTGGACAGCAATGCTCGCTCCTCCTGTATTTGCTGTTGCTCTTCTTCGAGTTCTTGAAGTCTCCCGCTCATGCATAGCAACTCCTGATCTAGATGATCTATCGTGCAGGCCTTTTCCTGAATTTCTCTTTCCAAAATAATATTTTCATCCGAATACCCATCAACAATACCTGTAAGATACAATGTAGGGAAATGAAATTGCTTCTAATTTAAGTTCACCATGAGGCTTTGTTTTTTGAGACAGGGTCTCACTAGCATACCCTAAGCTAGCCTTCAACATTGTGATGCTCCTGCCTCAGCCTTCTAAGTGTTGAGATAGCAGATGTGTACATCTAGGCCAAGCTTACCATCAGATTCTAATAGTAACAATAAAACCATCCTATTAGCAAAACTTTCCGTCACTTCAACCTATTAAAAGCCTGCTGCCGAGCTTTACGGTCATGTTGCAGGAAGTTTCCTTGCTTACTGTACATAAACATGGAATCTCCCTAAACTGTCTAGTACTTTGCTATACTAAAGAACACAACACACATATCTAATATAGTTTATTATACATATGGAAATAGACAGAATCCTAAAATACATCAAATGCTTGTGAATTTAGTCACATTTTAAATTTACTAGAGAAGGTTGATATTGTAAGCAATTCTAGAAGATCAGCACCCTAAACAGCCTGAGAGAATAGAAAAGGATATTAGAGGTTAAATCTGCAATAACATTTAATTATGACCTTACAGCATACAAACAACAGCTTTAGCCTTAGTTTTCTCACTTTGAGGAAAAAACCTCGGACTCACCACCATCTACTTTTGAATCATCGAAATTTTTAAATGTTACCTCTAATTCTATAAATTCTTTTTATAACGTGCATGTGTGTTTGTGTGTGCATTCTTAAATTTTTTATTGGCTTAGGGAAACTCAGAGGACAAACTATAATTATTTTTCAATGGTGACTTTAAATTAGACTAGGGGTTTACAAACCTGGCTGTACGTCAAAGTTTCTGTTTTAATACTGAAACATCTCCTGTCTCAGTTTCCAAAGTCAAGGCACTTACTTTCAGCTTTATTTAGATGGACAGCTGGCTGATCTCTGGACCTGGGCTGTTCCTGTTGGTGGTCATTCAGGTCATCTAGGCACCACAATGACTCTGTGTTTTCTTGGTTCTGTGTAAATGACTCAAGCATCTCTTCTGGCTGTGTAACATATAATTATGAGATGATTAATTATGTTAATATATTGGCTGTCTAGAATTATATTTTATATTGTATTTAGAATTATATATTTAGATGCTAATAGTAATGTGTTTTATGAGACATTACTTATATCTAAGCTAGAAACCATTATTTTACTTATATATTAAATTTCAAACTTGGTAGTTATATCTTGGAGATGCACAAAGTACATATAAACTTACAGATTCCCAAGACTTGCTGTGACCCTGTCGCAGATACATACAGCTACTTGCTTTTAGAAGCTTCAGATACATACTGATTGAGACAGGTAACAAGGAAGTCCCTTTAGGGGCACAGATGACACAAGCAGGGACAATGCCTTCTTTGAATCCACACAGCTGAACCAGTAGCAGTGAGCCATTTCCCTCCTGCTTCAAATCTGTGCCTCCAGACTGTTTTGCCATCTTGCCATGCACAAATGAGTGTGCTGATAGCATTTAAAGGGTACTTGATTTGTAATGTTTCTATAGCCTATGGTTTTTCAATAAGTGGAATACCTTCAGAAACTTTAAAGTTCTTTACAAATTCTTTCAGAAGTACAAAGCTTTTATTTAATATGCATATGTGTTACAGTTTCATTATGGCACCCTGGGATTTTCTTTGTGATGACATGTATTAGTCTACCACAAAGTACAGTCAGTACTAAAACAGTTAACAGTCAGGTTTCATTCTCCAGCCACATTGAGGACAGGAGGACATTGAAGTCTCAGGATTCTCCAGACATGCTGAGTGGAGGTTACCGTTTGAGGCTTGGTGGAGCCAGAATCACCTTTCATTTTGAGGTAGATCACTAGCTAGTGGCCAGCTGCTTTGCTTTTCTGATCTTCAGCTTGAAGTGTGAACCCCAATGTCAGTCTATGGATCTTTTATTTATCATGTTCCCTTCTGTTCCAAAAACCTCATGACTATACCAAATTAGACCTCTTAGGTGGCTACACTAGCCCAGAATGAAAAGATTTGGTGATGTTCTAGGCAGTCATCTGGAATATACGCCTTTATAGCAAGATGCGACAGAGAAAAGAATTAATTAAGTACATTTTTTGGCCCAGCATATTAGGTTCAATTCCAGGTCTCTTGGCTATCCTGCCATAATTTAGTAATGATGTGAATTTCTTTTTTAATGGATCGTTTTGTTTTTAATGTGCTGTTGTACATGTATTCATCTTGTGAATATGCGTGTGCACACGTGTGTCACTGTGTGCATATAAAGGTCAAACATTCAACCTGTGAAAGTGTGTTTTGTCCTTCTACTACGTGTTTTCAGGGGTCAAACTAGGGTCTTCAGCACGTGCCTTAGGCTGCTGCGCCATCTCCTAGTCCTTCTGTGTCACTTCCGGTGTTGCGGCCTCTGGCTCAGGATACTGGCCTACCCAGTGCAGACATTCACGGTCAGTGGGCTTTGCTTTCTTCTGCTTCTATTGCTGCTGCTGCTGCTGCTGCTGCTGCTGAAGGCTCTGCCTGATTGGTTGCTGTGCTTCTGGTCCAGGACACCGTCTTCGTCTTCACCAGGCTTGCTGTGCAGTCTCATCCCTCCTGCTGCGGTTTGGGCTGGAGGACAGCCTTAGGATCAGCAGCAGCTTTTCCGTCTGCTACTTCTGCTGCGGCTCCAATGGATCCTATCCGCCAGGGCTTGGAGGTTCAGACAGTGAGCTCGGTAGGTATATTCTCCTACAGCCCTCACCTCCCAGTGCTAGCGCAGCCTCCAGCCTTTGTCTAGCTGACTCTCCAGGCTATCAAAGCTGGGCTCAGAAGCCCGGGGCCAGCATGCTAGTGAAGCCCCTTGTTCTGACGCGTCGCCAGCACATCTCAGAGGAGACAGAGCTCTGGTCCACGCACAGGGCCTGAGAGCAGATGGGTGAGGCAGGCCTACCTATGAGCTGAAATTACTCATTTTCCCTCCGTGCACTGTCATTAATGTGTTCAAGGCAGACGCCAGCACTGTAGAGTTCTGAGTCATGACTGAGCTGTCCGGCCCTAGCATTTAGAGCTGCCTTCATCTTCCCTACTGACTCACTCACACAGATCACAAACCAGGCCCGCGAAGCTGGAGCCAGGAGAAGAGGAGGAACGTAAGTGGAGCTGCATGGTGACAGGGGGCACGATGCCCTGCTGTCTGCCACAGGCATAAAGTCAGTGGTTCTGGGCTGGCCACAGTGAGCAGTGTTTCCATGATGCTGATCTTGCATATGAGCTACTTTGTCACTCAGTCCAGGAGAGCCACATAATCCAGAAATTCCTCTACAGCCAAGTGTCTCTCAGTTCTGAAAGTACTCAGTAAGGACACTGACCCAAGGTGCTTGTGAGCAAGTGCAGTGTCCGCAGCTCCCACAATGAATGCCTTCAGCATCTTTCTGTCTTCCCCATCTTCTCCTCACCGAGTCCAGAGCTCCTCAGCAACTGGCAGCAGAGATCAACACGGAGCTTTTCTGTCTGAGCCTCAGGCACCTCACATTTGCTTTGAGTTTTAGACTTCAATCTTGGGGTGTTTAGATCTCTCACTATGACAGAGCTTCTAGACCACATCCACAGGGGTGGGGTCCCACACAGGTTTGCTCTAGCTTCTTTGGAACTGTCAGTGCTCCTTGACCTCTAGGTGTTGGCTAGGGCCCTGGTCCTCTTCTTCAGAGATGAAACTTGAAGACACTGGCAGGGGGAAGGAAGGTCTCCTCTTCCCAGTACCACCTCAGGTTTTCCTCTTGGCCTGCCATCTGTCTTTCTTGCAAGCCACATTGCTGCTGGCCCTGGAGGCTGCCTCCATCTCACCCACAGAACAACAATCCACACCCACTTACAGGAATTTCATCCAAACAAATGCACATGAGAGCAGGAGCGTACAGAGTATATCTATCATCTCTCCTTGATGCACAGACTGGAGAGAGCAACGATCCTGATCTTCTCTGAATGCAGATGGAGATCACAGCTCTGTGCTGGAGATTTGAAGAGTGGAGCTCTGGGATGTTTCCCTGTGGGGCATGCACTGTTCCAAGAGTTTTATGAAGATATGACCTCTGCTACATGAGGACCTATCCATTAGCACCAGGACCTGGGATCTTGGGGATTCCTGACCACTGGTCAAAAGATGGCCTGTTCTGCTTCCCCACAGTAGGAAGATCAGGGTACTGAACCTGATTTCCCAAGCATAAGTCAGTCGTGTGTGTGTGTTTGTGTGTGTCTGTGTGTTATAATAATAAAGAAAAAGAGACATGAATCTGAGAATTAAGAGGGGCATATGGGGGAGACCTGAGAATGGAAAAGGAACAGGGGAGATAACTAACTATACTTTAATCAAAATGAAACAAACCAGGACAAAATTTAACATACTTAGATAAGAAAAAAAATTCTCATGTCTACTTTTCCTTGTGCTAAGAAAAAATGCAAGTCTTTAAGTGTGTTAAATCTTTTCTCCTTAGTAAGTAGTTAACAAAACACATTCATAAAAATGATAGTAAAAAATTAGGATATTTAAATGTTTAAAAATGAAAAGAAGAAATAATACCTCTGTGATGCTGATGGTGTGCTCACATAGACAATTTCCACTGTCTTCGAATACCACTGAATCAACACTAAATATAAACAAAAGATGGTGTTTAATGTTAATAAGGCTTTTGAGTCGTTTTATAAGGTTTATAGCATACATTCATATAGTGGGAAAGGGGAAAACAAAACATGAAACATGATACGCCAAGGCTTATAAATACTGTATCACAAGACACATTTTTGTTTAAATTTTATATTTAAAAGTAATATAATGACAAGAGAATTTTTGCAGATCAACAGATAAACTTTACACCATTTTATAAAGTATATTAAGATATGCATACATGCATTATGCATTAGTTTTATAAAGTTATTAAAGATACATTATCTAGTAAAAAGACCCCCAAAATATCAACGTTACTAAAGCATTTTTAACACACACACACACACACATACACACACACTCACAGAAAACAACAGTCAGAAGGAACACCATCAGTGGGAATGAGGTACAGAGGCAGGAAGACACGGTTCCCAGTTACATAGTGACTTTTGGACTTGGCTGTTTTTAATCTAGTCTTCGTGTAGTTTTCAGCATATGTCTCTACTCTACACTGTTCTACAAGCATTCATTAATTTTTGTTTTTTCCAAAATGGTTAATACCCATAATAAAAATAAAGAAACATGAACATTTAGAAACACAGGAGACGAAAAAGGGAGAAAACTATAGTTTTCATTTTTAGGAAATAAAATTACCCAGTCCCCATTCACGTGTATCCATACTGCCTCCTTGGTTCCATTCTCCATTTTAATTTTCCAATTTCTTCTTTTTTCTTTTCTGCTTTACTCTTCTTTCTCCTATTCTCTTTCACATTTTGTTCTGTCTAAAACTTTCCATACACAAATGATGTCATTGTCTAGCTTTATCTCTTAACTTCTGATGGCATCTAGCCCTTTCAAATATTCAGTAATATAAATAATGCTACAATATCAAATACTACAAAGATATCTTTGATGTTTGCATCCTATTTCTCTATGATAAAATCCTAATTGCTGTTAATGCAATACCTGGGAATCCTGACCCTTTACGGGCAGTGACTTCATTCTGGAAGCTTTATAGTTATTTATCCCAAATTGAAAAAGACCAGTTTGGTTAACACTGAATTCACTGCTACCCTTTAGACCTGATGTGTCTACTGGTCCCTTCCTATCTGGTTTCATCCTTTATATAAATGAAGTCAAGTTCCATATTCTCTACCAAAACACACGGGTCCTAGTATGTCCTCTATACTTCCAATAACTTGTCTACCACATGTATCGGTAATCATTCCTTATTCTGCTTTCCTGGTATCTAGTAGATAAAATTACAGCAATGTGCAAAGAAAGTGTTATACAGGCGTGGCCTTAAATTCCAGAACTTTCTTTATGTCACTAGTTTATAGACTCAAACATTATTATCATGATAATTACTTGTGAATGATGCTCACTTCATAATTACATTGAAATGCCTGAGAAAAGCATTAAGGCATTCAGTACCATTTTGGCACTTCCTACAAAATGTGTTTTAGCAGATTCTCCTCATGGCTTCACTCTGTCCTCACCTTCCATTTAAGCCCTTTCCCCTCTTCATTTCCTTTCTGCTTTCAAGTAACAGGGCTTTCGTTTGCCCCTCCTCCATCTTCACCAGTGACCCAATTTGCTCTCAGATTCTATTTTTGGGGGGGTGGGATGGGAGTTCGAGACAGGGTTTCACTGTGTAACAGTCCTGACTGTTCTGGAACTCTCCTTTTACACCAGACTGACCTCGAACTCACTGAGATCCTCAGCCTCTGCCTACCAAGTGCTGGGATAAAAGGAGTGTGCCACCACGGCCTAACCCGACACTATTTGTTTATGACTTGCATCATTTACACTATCCTCTCTGTCTCCCTGTCTCTCTCTGTCTTCTCCTCTCTTGTCTCTCTGTCTCTCTCTCTTTGTCTCTCTGTCTCTCTCACTCTTCCACTCTCTGTCTCATTGTCTCTCTCTTTCTGTCTCACACAGACACACTCTCTCTTATACACACTGTTTCTTTCTCTCTCACTCGCTCTCTCTCTCTCCCTCTCTCTCTCTCTCTCTCTCTTTCTCTCTCTCTCTCTCACACACACACACACACACACTCATACACACACACTCATGGCCATTACAAGTTTAGATCAGAATACAAGGGAGAACATTTTGTCTTTAAGAGTTTGGACCACTTTGATAAATTTTATCCTTTCCAGATTCATTAATTTTCTCACAAATCTTGCTTTTGTTCTACGCCCTAGCAAAATTAAATTGCTAAAGATGCCGCACTCATTGATTACCCAGTCATCTGTCTGTAGACATCTGGTTGACGGCACTATTTGCTACTGCGGTTAGGGAAACAATAACACAGATATGAGGTAGCATATGGAATCCTTTGGGTGTATGTTCAGGATTGGCATAGCTGGGTCATGCATTAGCTCTATTGTTAAATTTTAAGAGACTCCGTATTGAGTTCCATACTGGTTGCACTCGTTTGCACTCCCACCATCAGTGAATAAGGCTTCCTCTTTTCCCACCTCAAGGCAGGCATTTGTTGTCATTGGATTTCCTGATTTTAGCCATTATGACTGGGGTGAGGGGAGTCTCACTAATTTCCATTACCTGAAGGATAAGGATGTGGTGAAATTATAAATAATTATGATTGATCATTTCTGTTTCTTCTCTGGAGAACTATTTGTTCATCTCACTAACCATTTGTTAACTGGCAGTTTGTGGGTTACATTTTTGCAGTTATTCTCAGTGCTGGATATTAGCCCCTACCGGCAAAGATTTTCTCCCATTGCATTGGCTACATGCTTGCTCTGCTAACAATTTCTTTTGCTGAACAGAAACTTTGAAATTTCATTGTAAATCTAATCATCCTTCCACAGTCAATACTCTTCACAATTTCTGCTTCATTTAATCCTCCCAATCCTGAGGGAGACTATTATTGTCTCTGTTACTTTTAGAAGTGCTGTAATCTTTTTATGATCACAGACACAAACAAAAGTTATTTCAGAGGTCCAATGCTCTGAAATTCATGGATGTTTCAATCTCAAATATCTGTCTAAAAGGCTGTGGTGTGATTCTTCTAAATATTTGTTACATAAAGATTCCGTTTTTGTCAAACTAACAATGCCTGATTGCAGAGGATAGTAAGCTCTTAATTACAAGTGTAAGACAGGTCAGTAAGCAGGCTCAACCCCAAAAGCAGAAAAAACAAAGCATCTTTTTGACGTTCTCAGGTCACCACCCCAACACTGCCACATTTTCTTCACACATTGGAGAAAGTATCACCAACTAAAGATTAATCCTAACTAATCACTAATGAAAGACTGTTTGAAATACACTGACTGTTTAACAGAGGATTCTTGCTCAAAACTATGACTGCAGTACTTTCTAAATGACATTCCATGGGTTTGGTGCATCAGTTATCTTGTCAAATACACAAAATTGTGAGTTTTCACTTTGAGTCTGACTCCAAAGATATAATCAAATAATTACTTATGATACATTTTAAAAGTATAAACTAAACTGAAGAATCTCCCGTGTTTTTGATGTATGGAAATGTCTGAAAGACCTGTTGGTCTCAAAGAACCAAGGGCTTTACAAGATTGCCAAAATGAGTGAGCAGCTCCAAAGGCCACATATAGCTCTTGAATAAAAGAAGAATAAGACTGCTTTCAATAATTCAGTGTCTTCCAGCATTATTGAAAACCCATGCTGGAGTTCCAGTGACAAGAAGTCGTAGAACAGCAGAGTAGTCAAAGTCAGAATACATTTTCTTAACACTAGTTACAGGTTCATGCATCCTTTCAAAGTGAATCACAAATCATTCATCAAGGATATACTAAGCTCTTACTATGTGCAAGGAATTACAAATTCTTAGAATAATAACCTAATACCTAATAACCCCAAGACTCCTCCTTCCTCCTACAGGTTCATGTTTCTTCATCAGAGTTAATACTAATTCATTTAGGGTGACAAAAAAAGCCCTCATGACAATGTTCATAAGTGAGGATTCAAAGGAGATGAGGGTGTTGGACAGGTCAGGAAGTGTTGAATACATTACAGGTGGAAGGAATTGTCAGGCAAAATCCTTAAGCAAAAGCAGACTGATATATTTAAGGACTCTGAGGAGGATGCTTAGTCTGAGAACAGCAACAGTTGAGTATGTGAGAATAGTCAAGGGGGTCACAGGAATCTATTGTGCAGGACAGAATAACACTGAAGTTAGGTGGTCTGTCTGAAGTTATGAGGAGTATAGTGCTGGCCCTCAGTTGACTGTATAGAGAAGCGAATCTAAGGAAGAATTAGAGTAATTAATCCTCATGAAAGAGCAAGGACTAGTGGGTGGGGAGGAATGGTGTGGTTCCCATCACCTGTGAAAGCAGAGAGAACAGGAATTTTTCATAGATGAGAAGACAGGTATGAGGAAAAGAGGAGGAGTCAAGGCAGATGGAGAGAGCTAAGAAAGGCACACTTTGAAAAGACGCAGGTTTCGTTTAGACATTGCTGATGTCAGCATTCCATCACAAAGTGAAAGAAACCCAGTGGAATGATCTATCTCACACTGCTAGGGTATGGGCCATATCAAAGTAGTGAAGACTCAGCGAAGAATACACAACAAATGTGCACTCATTGTCTTATTTAATCCCGCAGAACAACTTTATGAAAATATAGACAAAATTCCTATGATAAATGTCTTGGGGTCACTTTTATTTCACACATCTAAAAGTCACAGAATGATCTCCTGTTTATTCATTCTTATGTCTCTGATCACTTATATTGCAGTCTTAACATAACCTCTCTGTGTATACTGATGCATGACAGACAGCACACAGATGGATACCTCGGATGTGCTGACGGTCCATGGATGGTCTCAACGCTTCCCTGAACCGTCGGGATCTCTGCTCCATAATGAGCTTCTGTTGCTTTCAGCGGCTGCTCTAAGGTGTCCACAGGGCTCTCTAACCCCTGAAGCTCTTTTTCATGTTCTTCACTGTCTTCACTCTCCGGCAGAAAAGACAGCTCACTCTCATGACGGATGTCTGTGTCATAGGAACAGAACCAAGGGCACACTATGATCCAAGTTTCTTGGTAACAAAGAAGAATTACTTGTGTGTACGAAGAATACTTGTGATTCTTTAAAAACATGCTTTTAGTGATAACTTTTTCTTCTCATGAAAAACCCAGTATGATTCAAGACCACTTTTTCTATCCTCCTGTTTGTAGAATCACTAACTCTAACAAGTTTACGTCATTATGTTTCAAACAGTTTAGAAACATAGAGTGTGAGAAATGATAAGGACAAAAGAGATGAGGAGTCTGGACATTCACTTTAAACATGAGAAAACTGAACAAGAAAATGACCATGAGAGGTCATCCAACTACCACAGGGTTTTAAGGAAAGCACATTTGTAAACATTGGGTATAAAAGTACTGTAACATGTTCTACACTTAAAATTTACCAATGCTCTCTAAACCAGCCTGAGAGCGAACCGACAAAATCCCTGATTCCTCTTCTGCCACATTTTCCTCGGCAAACTCAACTTTCACACCATCTGTTTGCTGTTCGTGAATCTATTGAAAACAGAAGAACGATGGCATAAATATCCAATCCAGGACTTTGAAATCTATATTAAAACAATTGAAGAACTTTGCACTAAGTTTTTTTCAATCCCCTTCACCTGTGTTGCTCTGAAACAATCAAACACTTTTTGTTTACTTTTGACAAGTGACTCACTGTCATACTCATGGGAAGGAAACTGTATTAGCAATGCTCTTTTATACTCACAGAAATGTTCACTTTTCAGTAACAAATGTTTCACAGAAATTTAAACTGAAAGCCCTTTGAAACTTTAGTGCAAGCAACAGATTTTTATTATCAACACCTGACAACATAATTTTTATTTTTCCCTGGATGATGGGTTTTGTTGGACATGCAGATTATTAAATTTTGGGACGCTGTGTTTTTGTAATGAGCAGTATACATGAAGACAAGGCAGAGGACGATTACAAAATCAGCTTAAGGGTACACACACACACACACACACACATACACAAAGAGAGAGAGTATGTGTGCATCTATGTCCTCAGAGGGCTCAATAACTAGCTGAGGAAATAATATCATTTGAGAAGCAACACCTGTGAAGTCTGAATACAATGACAGTGACTGAAATGCATCTGAGCAACTTGGGAATAAGCCAGATTTGACCTGGGCGTTAATAGTTTACAGCTATGACTTTCTGGAAAGGCTCTGTGAGATGACCTATGCTCTAAGGAGTAAAAACAAGGACCTCTTGACAGGGGCTTATATTGGATGAGAAGGGAAAAATAAAGCTTGTTAAGTAAAGTACATCTAGATTACAAGGGGAAAGGTTCTTGACTTGCCGGAGAAGAGGAATAAAGGATGCTATGAAAACCACTCAGTAACAGGAGAAAAAGTGTTCTAAGAGGCTATTTTCATTGGTCACTACTCTATTAGGTGTCATCTACCACATGTCTACCTCCTGAATGTTTTTTTATTTCCTTGCTTGTGTGTGTGTGTGTGTGTGTGTGTGTGTGTGTGTGTGAGCGCGCGCACGCCTGCACATGCTTGTGTATATACAATGTATATGGGGGGTGCATGGGCAGGAAAGTCAGAGGTCAGCAGCAGATGTTTTCTCTTTCAGTTTCTCAGCACATCTGGAACTTTTGTATTAGGCTAGACTGGTTGGCCAGCAAGCCCCAGGGATCCTCCTGTCTCTACCTCCCTCAAATTGGGATTATAGGACACGTCACCTTTGCTATGAGTTTGGAGGGATTAAACTCAGGTCCATTTCTTGCACAGCAAGCACTTTACTGAGCAGTTCTCCAGTGCCCTGAGGACACGTAAACAGGGGAATCTTACCTCTTACTTCTAGGGGAAATAATAAAAACCACCAGACAATATAACTTACAGTCTAATACTTTTATATCTTTGCTCAATTCATTCATAAATACCTACTGAGCCTTTACCATGTAAGTAGTTAACAAAACACATTCATAAAAATGATAGGAAAAGAATTAGGATATTTAAATGTTTAAAAATGAAAAGAAGAAATAATACCTCTGTGATGCTGACGGTGTGCTCACATAGACAATTTCCACAGTAAAGTGTTTTCTGTAAATCACTGTCTTCGAATACCACTGAATCAACACTAAATATAAACAAAAGATGGTGGATAATGTCAATAAGGGTTTTGAGTCGTTTTATAAGGTTTATAGCATACATTCATATAGTGGAAAGGGGGAAACAAAACATGAAACATGATACACCAAGGCTTACAGATACTGCAACACAAGTCACATGTTTGTCAAAATTTTATATTTAAAAGTAATATAATGACAAGAGAAATTTTGCAGATCAACAGATAAACTTTACACCATTTTATAAAGTATATTAAGATATGCATACATGCATAAGTTTTATAAAGTTATTAAAGATACATTATCTAGTAAAAGGACCCCCAAAATATCAACGTTACTAAAACATTTTAACACACACACACACACACACACACACTCACTCACAGAAAACAACAGTCAGAAGGAACACCATCAGTGGGAATGAGGTACAGAGGCAGGAAGACACGGTTCCCAGTTACATAGTGACTTTTGGACTTGGCTGTTTTTAATCTAGTCTTCGTGTAGTTTTCAGCATATGTCTCTACTTTACATTGTTCTACAAGCATTCATTAATTTTTGTTTTTTCCAAAATGTTTAATACCCATAATAAAAATAAAGCAACATGAACATTTAGAAACACAGGAGACGAAAAAGGGAGAAAACTATAGTTTTCATTTTTAGGAAATAAAATTACCCAGTCCCCATTCACGTGTATCCATACTGCCTCCTTGGTTCCATTCTCCATTTTAATTTTCCAATTTCTTCCTTTTTCTTTTCTACTATACTCTTCTTTCTCCTAGTCTCTTTCACATTTTGTTCTGTCTAAAACTTTCCATACACAAATGATGTCATTGTCTAGCTTTATCTCTTAACTTCTGATGGCATCTAGCCCTTTCAAATATTCAGTAATATAAATAATGCTACAATATCAAATACTACAAAGATATCTTTGATGTTTGCATCCTATTTCTCTATGATAAAATCCTAATTGCTGTTAATGCAATACCTGGGAATCCTGACCCTTTACGGGCAGTGACTTCATTCTGGAAGCTTTATAGTTATTTATCCCAAATTGAAAAAGACCAGTTTGGTTAACACTGAATTCACTGCTACCCTTTAGACCTGATGTGTCTACTGGTCCCTTCCTATCTGGTTTCATCCTTTATATAAATGAAGTCAAGTTCCATATTCTCTACCAAAACACACGGGTCCTAGTATGTCCTCTATACTTCCAATAACTTGTCTACCACATGTATCGGTAATCATTCCTTATTCTGCTTTCCTGGTATTCTAGTAGGTAACATTACAGCAATGTGCAAAGAAAGTGTTATACAGGCGTGGCCTTAAATTCCAGAACTTTCTTTATGTCACTAGTTTATAGACTCAACCTTTATTATCTTATAATAATTACTTGTGACTGATGCTCACCTCATAATTACATTGAAATGCCTGAGAAAAGCATTAATTTTTAACTTACTATATTTAAGGCATTCAGTACCATTTTGGCACTTCCTACAAAATGTGTTCCAGCAGATTCTCCTTATGGCTTCACTCTGTCCTCACCTTCCATTTAAGCCCTTTCCCCTCTTCATTTCCTTTCTGCTTTCAAGTCACAAGGCTTTCGTTTGCCCCTCCTCCATCTTAACCAGTGACCCATTTTGCTCTCAGATTCTATTTTTGGGGGTGTGGGATGGGAGTTCGAGACAGGGTTTCACTGTGTAACAGTCCTGACTGTTCTGGAACTCTCCTATTACACCAGACCGGCCTCGAACTCACTGAGATCCTCAGCCTCTGCCTACCAAGTGCTGGGATAAAAGGAGTGTGCCACCACGGCCTAACCCGAAGCTATTTGTTTAAGTCTTGCATCATTTACACTCCTCTCTCTGTCTCCCTGTCTCTCTCTGTCTCTCCTCTCTTGTCTCTGTCTCTGTCTTCCACTCTGTCCGTCTGTCTCTTTCTGTCTCACACATACACACACTCACTCACACACGCACTCTCTCTCACAAACACCCACTCATGGCCATTACAAGCTTAGATTTGCATACAAGGAAGAACATTTGTCTTTATGAGTTTGGACCACTTTCCAGATTCCTTAATTTTCTCACAAATGTTACTTTTGTTCTACACCTTAGCAAAATTGACTTGTTAAAGATGCCGCACACATTGATTACCCAGTCATCTGTCTTTAGACATCTGGTTGACGGCACTATTTGCTACTGTGGTTAGGGAAACAATAACACGTATATGAGGTAGCATATGGAGTCCTTTGGGTGTATGTTCAGGATTGGCATAGCTGGGTCATGCATTAGCTCTATTGTTAAATTTTAAGAGACCTCCGTATTGAGTTCCATACTGGTTGCACTAGTTTACACTCCCACCATCAGTGAATAAGTCTTCCTCTTTCCCCACTTCCAGGCAGGCATTTGTTGTCGTTTGATTTCCTGATTTTAGCCATTATGACTGGGGTGAGGGGAATCTCACTAATTTCCATTTCCCTGAAGGATAAGGATGTGGTGGAATTTTAAAATACTTATGATTGATCATTTCTGTTTCTTCTCTGGAGAACTATTTGTTCATCTCACTAACCATTTGTTAACTGGCAGTTTGCGGGTTACATTTTTGCAGTTATTCTCAGTGCTGGAGATTAGCCCCTACCGGCAAAGATTTTCTCCCATTGTATTGGCTACATGCTTGCTCTGCTAACAATTTCTTTTGCTGAACAGAAACTTTGAAATTTCATTGTAAATCTAATCATCCTTCCACAGTCAATACTCTTCACAATTTCTGCTTCATTTAATCCTCCCAATCCTGAGGGAGACTATTATAATCTCTGTTACTTTTAGAAGTGCTGTAATCTTTTTATGATCACAGACACAAACAAAAGTTATTTCAGAGGTCCAATGCTCTGAAATTCATGGATGTTTCAATCTCAAATATCTGTCTAAAAGGCTCTGGTGTGATGCTACTAAATATTTGTTAAATGAAGATTCCATTTTCTCAAACTATTCGATGTCTGATTGCAGAGGATAGTAAGCTCTTAATTACAAGTGTAAGACAGGTCAGTAAGCAGGCTCAACCCCAAAAGCAGAAAAAACAAAGCAGCTTTTTGACGTTCTCAGGTCACCACCCCAACACTGCCACATTTTCTTCACACATTGGAGAAAGTATCACCAATTAAAGATTAATCATAACTAATCACTAATGAAAGACTGTTTGAAATACACTGACTGGTTAACAAAGAAGTCTTGCTCAAAGAGACTACAGCAGTGGTTTCTAAATGTCAATCAGTGGGCTGGATGCATTAGTTATCTTTGTTAAATACACAAAATTGTGAGTTTTCACTTTGAGTCTGACGCCAAAGATATAATCAAATAATTACTTATGATACATATTTTAAAAGTATAAACTAAACTGAAGAATCTCCCGTGTTTTTGATGTATGGAAATGTCTGAGAAGACCTGTTGGTCTCAAAGAACCAAGGGCTTTACAGGATTGCCAAAATGAGTGAGCAGCTCCAAAGGCCACATATAGCTCTTGAATAAAAGAAGAATGAGACTGCTTTCAATGATTCAGTGTCTTCCACCATTATTGAAAACCCATGCTGGAGTTCCAGTGACAAGAAGTCGTAGAACAGCAGAGTAGTCAAAGTCAGAATAAACCTGCCATTTTCTTAACACTAGTTACAGGTTCATGCATCCTTTCAAAGTGAATCACAAATCATTCATCAAGGATATACTAAGCTCTTACTATGTGCAAGGAATTACAAATTCTTAGAATAATAACCTAATACCTAATAACCCCAAGACTCCTCCTTCCTCCTACAGGTTCATGTTTCTTCATCAGAGTTAATACTAATTCATTTAGGGTGACAAAAAAAAGCCCTCATGACAATGTTCATAAGTGAGGATTCAAAAGAGATGAGGGTGTTGGACAGGTCAGGAAGTGTTGAATGCATTACAGGTGGAAGGAATTGTCAGGCAAAATCCTTAAGCAAAAGCAGACTGATATATTTAAGGACTCTGAGGAGGATGCTTAGTCTGAGAACAGCAACAGTTGAGTATGTGAGAATAGTCAAGGGGTCACAGGAATCTATTGTGCAGGACAGAATAACACTGAAGTTAGGTGGTCTGTCTGAAGTTATGAGGAGTATAGTGCTGGCCCTCAGTTGACTGTATAGAGAAGCGAATCTAAGGAAGAATTAGAGTAATTAATCCTCATGAAAGAGCAAGGACTAGAGGGTGGGGAGGAATGGTGTGGTTCCCATCACCTGTGAAAGCAGAGAGAACAGGAATTTTTCATAGATGAGAAGACAGGTATGAGGAAAAGAGGAGGAGTCAAGGCAGATGGAGAGAGCTAAGAAAGGCACACTTTGAAAAGACGCAGGTTTCGTTTAGACATTGCTGATGTCAGCATTCCATCACAAAGTGAAAGAAACCCAGTGGAATGATCTATCTCACACTGCTAGGGTATGGGCCATATCAAAGTAGTGAAGACTCAGCGAAGAATACACAACAAATGTGCACTCATTGTCTTATTTAGTCCCGCAGAACAACTTTATGAAAATATAGACAAAATTCCTATGATAAATGTCTTGGGGTCACTTTTATTTCACACATCTAAAAGTCACAGAATGATCTCCTGTTTATTCATTCTTATGTCTCTGATCACTTATATTGCAGTCTTAACATAACCTCTCTGTGTATACTGATGCATGACAGACAGCACACAGATGGATACCTCGGATGTGCTGACGGTCCATGGATGGTCTCAACGCTTCCCTGAACCGTCGGGATCTCTGCTCCATAATGAGCTTCTGTTGCTTTCAGCAGCTGCTCTAAGGTGTCCACAGGGCTCTCTAACCCCTGAAGCTCTTTTTCATGTTCTTCACTGTCTTCACTCTCCGGCAGAAAAGACAGCTCACTCTCATGACGGATGTCTGTGTCATAGGAACAGAACCAAGGGCACACTATGATCCAAGTTTCTTGGTAACAAAGAAGAATTACTTGTGTGTACGAAGAATACTTGTGATTCTTTAAAAACATGCTTTTAGTGATAACTTTTTCTTCTCATGAAAAACCCAGTGTGATTCAAGACCACTTTTTCTATCCTCCTGTTTGTGGAATCACTAACTCTAACAAGTTTACGTCATTAAGTTTCAAACAGTTTAGAAACATAGAGTGTGAGAAATGATAAGGACAAAAGAGATGAGGAGTCTGGACATTCACTTTAAACATGAGAAAACTGAACAAGAAAATGACCATGAGAGGTCATCCAACTACCACAGGGTTTTAAGGAAAGCACATTTGTAAACATTGGGTATAAAAGTACTGTAACATGTTCTACACTTAAAATTTACCAATGCTCTCTAAACCAGCCTGAGAGCGAACCGACAAAATCCCTGATTCCTCTTCTGCCACATTTTCCTCTGCAAACTCAACTTTCACACCATCTGTTTGCTGTTCGTGAATCTATTGAAAACAGAAGAACGATGGCATAAATATCCAATCCAGGACTTTGAAATCTATATTAAAACAATTGAAGAACTTTGCACTAAGTTTTTTTTCAATCCCCTTCACCTGTGTTGCTCTGAAACAATCAAACACTTTTTGTTTACTTTTGACAAGTGACTCACTGTCATACTCATGGGAAGGAAACTGTATTAGCAATGCTCTTTTATACTCACGGAAATGTTCACTTTTCAGTAACAAATGTTTCACAGAAATTTAAACTGAAAGCCCTTTGAAACTTTAGTGCAAGCAACAGATTTTTATTATCAACACCTGACAACATAATTTTTATTTTTCCCTGGATGATGGGTTTTGTTGGACATGCAGATTATTAAATTTTGGGACGCTGTGTTTTTGTAATGAGCAGTATACATGAAGACAAGGCAGAGGACGATTACAAAATCAGCTTAAGGGTACACACACACACACACACACACACACACATACACAAAGAGAGAGAGTATGTGTGCATATATGTCCTCAGAGGGCTCATTAACTAGCTGAGGAAATAATATCATTTGAGAAGCAACACCTGTGAAGTCTGAATACAATGACAGTGACTGAAATGCATCTGAGCAACTTGGGAATAAGCCAGATTTGACCTGGGCGTTAATAGTTTACAGCTATGACTTTCTGGAAAGGCTCTGTGAGATGACCTATGCTCTAAGGAGTAAAAACAAGGACCTCTTGACAGGGGCTTATATTGGATGAGAAGGGAAAAATAAAGCTAGTTAAGTAAAGTACATCTAGATTACAAGGGGAAAGGTTCTTGACTTGCCGGAGAAGAGGAATAAAGGATGCTATGAAAACCACTCAGTAACAGGAGAAAAAGTGTTCTAAGAGGCTATTTTCATTGGTCACTACTCTATTAGGTGTCCTCTACCACATGTCTACCTCCTGAATGTTTTTTTTTATTTCCTTGCTTGTGTGTGTGTGTGTGTGTGTGTATGCACACGCACACCTGCACATGCTTGTGTATATACAATGTATATGGGGGGTGCATGGGCAGGAAAGTCAGAGGTCAGCAGCAGATGTTTTCTCTTTCAGTTTCTCAGCACATCTGGAACTTTTGTATTAGGCTAGACTGGTTGGCCAGCAAGCCCCAGGGATCCTCCTGTCTCTACCTCCCTCAAATTGGGATTATAGGACACGCCACCTTTGCTATGAGTTTGGAGGGATTAAACTCAGGTCCGTTTCTTGCACAGCAAGCACTTTACTGAGCAGTTCTCCAGTGCCCTGAGGACACGTAAAAAGGGGAATCTTACCTCTTACTTCTAGGGGAAATAATAAAAACCACCAGACAATATAACTTGCAGTCTAATACTTTTATATCTTTGCTCAATTCATTCATAAATACCTACTGAGCCTTTACCATGTAAGTAGTTTACAAAGCACATTCATAAAAATGATAGTAAAAATTAGGATATTTAAATGTTTAAAAATGAAAAGAAGAAATAATACCTCTGTGATGCTGACGGTGTGCTCACATAGACAATTTCCACAGTAAAGTGTTTTCTGTAAATCACTGTCTTCGAATACCACTGAATCAACACTAAATATAAACAAAAGATGGTGGTTAATGTCAATAAGGGTTTTGAGTCGTTTTATAAGGTTTATAGCATACATTCATATAGTGGGAAAGGGGGAAACAAAACAGGAAACATGATACGCCAAGGCTTACAGATACTGCAACACAAGTCACATGTTTGTCAAAATTTTATATTTAAAAGTAATATAATGACAAGAGAATTTTTGCAGATCAACAGATAAACTTTACACCATTTTATAAAGTATATTAAGATATGCATACATGCATAAGTTTTATAAAGTTATTAAAGATACATTATCTAGTAAAAAGACCCCCAAAATATCAACGTTACTAAAACATATTTAACACACACACACACACACACACTCACAGAAAACGACAGTCAGAATGAACAACATCAGTGGGAATGAGGTACAGGGGCAGGAAGACACGGTTTCCGGTTACATAGTGACTTTTGGACTTGGCTGTTTTTAATCTAGTCTTCGTGTAGTTTTCAGCATATGTCTCTACATCGTTCTACAAGCATTCATTAATTTTTGTTTTTTCTAAAATGTTTAATACCCATAATAAAAATAAAGCAACATGAACATTTAGAAACACAGGAGACTGTTGGGGAAGTCTTATGCCAATAAAGCACTGTCTGGCCAATAGGGAATCTAGATAGGAGGGACTAGGAGTCCAGGAGGATTCTGGGAAGGAGAAACACAGAGAGAGTCGACATGTAACGCCATGGGGGTAGGAAGCCCGGAACTTCTCCGGTAAGAGACATACTTAGATTAACAATTATGGGGTAATTACTTAAGTCAGAGGTAGCTAGTAAGAAACAAGCAAGGCCAACAGCTTCATAATTAATATAGCCTCCTGTGTGTTTATTTGGGACTGATGCGAATCTAGAACCAGGCAGGCGGGAAGGTTTATCTCAAGGAAAAAGCTTCCCTTTACAGAATGGTGTCAGGAGTGGGATTGATTTCCACGCAAAACAACAAAAGCTTTAAAGGAATTTTAGAAACAAAAGAACAGAGAGAAGCACAAAATTTTGATAGCAACATTTTTCTCAGGTGTTTTGCTAGGGACAAGCCGAGATTCACGCGGCTGGCTTACGAGAGTCTTCCTGACTCGGCATAAAAAGAAAAAAAAAACAGCAAGGTTGTTTTAAGAGACTCTGCTAACGATTGAAAGGTGTGTACGTACAGCTGGAAGTGGCAGCTTTTGCTGGATGTCAGCATGGACTGAGGCGGTAGGCTGCAATCACGCTTATGCCTGCCATCTTGAAAAAAAAGGCAGTTTAAAACAGCCGCGGTTTTACAGATAAGACACGTGGCCAGAAAAACGTAAAGATTTACAGTAAAGTCAGACTTGGATGAACAATACCTCTAAAGGTTTACAGTGTGTTTAAAAATATACGTGAGATTGAGAGAGAAAATGAAACGGCAAAGTGGATATAAATACAAAAGCCGGCGTTGTGGTGGAGCACGCCGGTAGGATTTACTCCAGAGGCAGAGGCAGGCGGAACCCTGTCTCAAAGAAAAATAAATAAAAGTAAAATAAATAAAGTAATAATAGATAAATAAATAAGCCACGTAAAGATGAAAAATACACAGAGAGTCTGGATACTGTATGCTATTGTGTTTTTCAGTTTTGTGATTGCTAAGGAAGGAACAGCTGCTAAAGTACACTTGATTATAAATGCTGCTGAATTAATCCAACTTCTATTTTTTGAAAATGCCTTGACTTCAAAATTTAAGTATAAGGATATGTTACTTGGAAAAGGAGTTTTTGCTTATGTTTCTACAGAAAATGAAAAGCTGAGGATTCCTTCCAGGCTTCTGTGGTTTGATGAACCAAGACCCCCGGAAGCAGTGGATCAGATGTTCCAACAATTGAAACAGCTAAGATGATGCAGTCTTACAGACCCCGAAAATATGGACTTATACAGGTTTCTGAGTTTTGTCATGATCCCCATGGTATGAACGGCGCCCCCTTCCAGCAGGAAGCAGTTTGGAATGAGCGACATCCCAATTCCCATCTTGTTTATAAATCTTTGTTTTCATTTAAATGGGATTGTTTATAATTGGCTAGTGATCACAGCCAATCTTTTTTAATGGTAAAAAAGGGAATTATGATATAGGTATTGTTTTTCAATTATTGATACAAATTCAAGGTCAATTTTGTGATGTGTATATTTCTCCTCTTGATTAAGTATTGTGCTTATAATGATCTTTTAAAACGTAATGCTTAATTGAATACAGACTATAGATAGTTACTTATAATAGAATTTATAGTTAGGTAAGTTAGGTTTTCTAGATATACAGAAATATATTTGAGATAGATAAACAGTCTTCAAACCTCTCAAAGACCTTCAGAAAATGGCATTTAAAATGGTTTAGGGTTTTTCTTGACAATGAGAAATGTCTGCTCCTGGCAGCACCAATTATGTCTGAGAGGAAGATGGGCATCGAAGAAACTCGTTATGGAGTTTGCTTTCAACATGGCAAGATTAGCCATTTGGGCAAGAAACTGCTCTTGCCTAGACTGTTTGACTGTTGTTGTATAATCTGGACATGCAGGACCCACAGGAAAGTGACTGTTAAACTCAGTCTTACAGGGTTCCTGCTTCATGGAAGAGTCTACGGGACTTTCTGCAGGACACAGAAAAATGACTGACAGACTGCTGATGCAGATGGACAGTTTTGAAATTTCCTGCTTTGCTGAGAAGTGTTCCAGACACATTGTGGCCTATGGGCTGAAGATGGATGCCCCAACGTTACAAAGGAACTTTGGGTGACTCTCCAGGTAGCAAGATGTCTCTGTCAATCCTAGTGATTATATACTATCCTTCTGTGGTCTTTGATGGAGTTGAAGACAGATAGTTATAATTATAGTTTTCCTTAGTTATGATAAGAGATAAGCTACATATAGAACTTTAGACTCACAAGGATGGGATGGATGATATTTTCTTTAAATCTTGCTAAATGTTAACAGACAAATGTTGTAACTGTGTTCTTACTTGATAACTGTTCTGTTATATACAATTTGACTGTGTTAAAGTTAAGACCTTTCTTTTTGTTTAAACAGAAAAGAGGAGATGTTGGGGAAGTCTTATGCCAATAAAGCACTGTCTGGCCAATAGGGAATCTAGATAGGAGGGACTAGGAGTCCAGGAGGATTCTGGGAAGGAGAAACACAGAGAGAGTCGACATGTAACGCCATGGGGTAGGAGCCCGGAAACTTCTCCGGTAAGAGACATACTTACATTAACAATTATGGGGTAATTACTTAAGTCAGAGGTAGCCAGTAAGAAACAAGCAAGGCCAACAGCTTCATAATTAATATAGCCTCCTGTGTGTTTATTTGGGACTGATGCGAATCTAGAACCAGGCAGGCGGGAAGGTTTATCTCAAGGAAGAAGCTTCCCTTTACAGGAGACGGAAAAGGGAGAAAACTATAGTTTTCATTTTTAGGAAATAAAATTACCCAGTCCCCATTCACGTGTATCCATACTGCCTCCTTGGTTCCATTCTCCATTTTAATTTTCCAATTTCTTCCTTTTACTTTTCTACTATACTCTTCTTTCTCCTAGTCTCTTTCACATTTTGTTCTGTCTAAAACTTTCCATACACAAATGATGTCATTGTCTAGCTTTATCTCTTAACTTCTGATGGCATCTAGCCCTTTCAAATATTCAGTAATATAAATAATGCTACAATATCAAATACTACAAAGATATCTTTGATGTTTGCATCCTATTTCTCTATGATAAAATCCTAATTGCTGTTAATGCAATACCTGGGAATCCTGACCCTTTACGGGCAGTGACTTCATTCTGGAAGCTTTATAGTTATTTATCCCAAATTGAAAAAGACCAGTTTGGTTAAAACTGAGTTCACTGCTACCCTTTAGACCTGATATGTCTACTGGTCCCTTCCTATCTGGTTTCATCCTTTATATAAATGAAGTCAAGTTCCATATTCTCTACCAAAACACACGGGTCCTAGTATGTCCTCTATACTTCCAATAACTTGTCTACCACATGTATCTGTAATCATTCCTTATTCTGCTTTCCTGGTATTCTAGTAGGTAACATTACAGCAATGTGCAAAGAAAGTGTTATACAGGCGTGGCCTTAAATTCCAGAACTTTCTTTATGTCACTAGTTTATAGGCTCAACCATTATTATCTTATAATAATTACTTGTGACTGATGCTCACCTCATAATTACATTGAAATGCCTGATAAAAGCATTAATTTTTAACTTACTATATTTAAGGCATTCAGTACCATTTTGGCACTTCCTACAAAATGTGTTTTAGCAGATTCTCCTCATGGCTTCACTCTGTCCTCACCTTCCATTTAAGCCCTTTCCCCTCTTCATTTCCTTTCTGCTTTCAAGTCACAAGGCCTTCGTTTGCCTCTCCTCCATCTTCACCAGTGACCCATTTTGCTCTCAGATTCCATTTTTTGGGGGACGGGATGGGAGTTCGAGACAGGGTTTCACTGTGTAACAGTCCTGACTATTCTGGAACTCTCCTATTACACCAGACTGGCCTCGAACTCACTGAGATCCTCCTGCCTCTGCCTACCAAGTGCTGGGATAAAAGGAGTGTGCCACCACGGCCTAACCCGACAATATTTGTTTATGACTTGCATCATTTACACTCTCCTCTCTGTCTCCCTGTCTCTCTCTGTCTCTCCTCTCTTGTCTCTCTGTCTCTCTCTTCCACTCTGTCTGTCTGTCTCTCTCTGTCTCTTTCTGTCTCACACATACACACACTCACTCACACACGAACTCTCTCTCACACACACCCACTCATGGCCATTACAAGCTTAGATCTGCATACAAGGGAGAACATTTGTCTTTATGAGTTTGGACCACTTTCCAGATTCATTAATTTTCTCACAAATCTTACTTTTGTTCTACACCTTAGCAAAATTGAATTGTTAAAGATGCTGCATGCTAGACATAGATCTGGGGAGTGCCAGCCTACAATCCTATTGCCAGAGAGTCTGGGAAACAGAAACTTCATTTACTGGCTGGTTAAGTACTGAGCTGAACTCAAGAAAGCCAGTATCAGAGGGGGAGGACTGATGATCAAAGGGATTAAGACTGGGCTGGTTGAACCCCCAGAAACAGCTGATCAGACAAAGGTTAACTCTTGAATCCCAGGCATCAGCCTGGGAATCCAGCATGGGACTGATCAAGACCCCCTGAATCTGGGTGTCAGTGAGGAGGCCTAGGTAATCTATTGAGCCTTGGACAGCAGATCAGTACCCATCCCAAGTATACACACGGTCTCTGGACTCCCATAGATCAACGTGAGGTGCACTCTCACCCTGAACTCTTGGGGAAGGGTCTAGGCCCTGCCCTATATGAAATGACAGACTATGGACACCCCCATGGAGGGCCTCACCCTCCCTGGGGGAATGAGGGGATAACCGGAGGGGGATGAGGGGGAGGGCACGGGAGGAGGGGAGGGAAAGGGATAGGGACCTCGTACTGACTTGTGAAGCAACCTTGTTTCTTATCTAAATTTAAAATGGAAAATAAAAAAAATATTAATAAAAAAAATAATAAAAAAAAGATGCCGCATGCATTGATTACCCAGTCATCTGTTGGTAGACATCTGGTTGACGGCACTATTTTCTACTGTGGTTAGGGAAACAATAACACAGATATGAGGTAGCATATGGAGTCCTTTGGGTGTATGTTCAGGATTGGCATAGCTGGGTCATGCATTAGCTATATTGTTAAATTTTAAGAGACTCCGTATTGAGTTCCATACTGGTTGCACTCGTTTGCACTCCCACCATCAGTGAATAAGGCTCCCTCTTTTCCCACCTCCAGGCAGGCATTTGTTGTCATTTGATTTCCTGATTTTAGCCATTATGACTGGGGTGAGGGGAATCTCACTAATTTCCATTTCCCTGAAGGATAAGGATGTGGTGGAATTTTAAAATACTTATGATTGATCATTTCTGTTTCTTCTCTGGAGAACTATTTGTTCATCTCACTAACCATTTGTTAACTGGCAGTTTGCGGGTTACATTTTTGCAGTTATTCTCAGTGCTGGATATTAGCCCCTACCGGCAAAGATTTTCTCCCATTGAATTGGCTACATGCTTGCTCTGCTAACAATTTCTTTTGCTGAACAGAAACTTTGAAATTTCATTGTAAATCTAATCATCCTTCCACAGTCAATACTCTTCACAATTTCTGCTTCATTTAATCCTCCCAATCCTGAGGGAGACTATTATTGTCTCTGTTACTTTTAGAAGTGCTGTAATCTTTTTATGATCACAGACACAAACAAAAGTTATTTCAGAGGTCCAATGCTCTGAAATTCATGGATGTTTCAATCTCAAATATCTGTCTAAAAGGCTCTGGTGTGATGCTACTAAATATTTGTTAAATGAAGATTCCATTTTCTCAAACTATTCAATGTCTGATTGCAGAGGATAGTAAGCTCTTAATTACAAGTGTAAGACAGGTCAGTAAGCAGGCTCAACCCCAAAAGCAGAAAAACAAAGCAGCTTTTTGACGTTCTCAGGTCACCACCCCAACACTGCCACATTTTCTTCACACATTGGAGAAAGTATCACCAATTAAAGATTAATCATAACTAATCACTAATGAAAGACTGTTTGAAATACACTGACTGATTAACAGAGAATTCTTGCTCAAAACTATGACTGCAGTAGTTTCTAAATGTCATTCCCTGGGTTTGGTGCATTAGTTATCTTGTTAAATACACAAAATTGTGAGTTTTCACTTTGAGTCTGACGCCAAAGATATAATCAAATAATTACTTATGATACATATTTTAAAAGTATAAACTAAACTGAAGAATCTCCCGTGTTTTTGATGTATGGAAATGTCTGAGAAGACCTGTTGGTCTCAAAGAACCAAGGGCTTTACAAGATTGCCAAAATGAGTGAGCAGCTCCAAAGGCCACATATAGCTCTTGAATAAAAGAAGAATGAGACTGCTTTCAATGATTCAGCGTCTTCCACCATTATTGAAAACCCATGCTGGAGTTCCAGTGACAAGAAGTCGTAGAACAGCAGAGTAGTCAAAGTCAGAATAAACCTGCCATTTTCTTAACACTAGTTACAGGTTCATGCATCCTTTCAAAGTGAATCACAAAACATTCATCAAGGATATACTAAGCTCTTACTATGTGCAAGGAATTACAAATTCTTAGCATAATAACCTAATACCTAATAACCCAAGACTCCTCCTTCCTCCTACAGGTTCATGTTTCTTCATCAGAGTTAATACTAATTCATTTAGGGTGACAAAAAAAGCCCTCATGACAATGTTCATAAGTGAGGATTGAAAGGAGATGAGGGTGTTGGACAGGTCAGGAAGTGTTGAATGCATTACAGGTGGAAGGAATTGTCAGGCAAAATCCTTAAGCAAAAGCAGACTGATATATTTAAGGACTCTGAGGAGGATGCTTAGTCTGAGAACAGCAACAGTTGAGTATGTGAGAATAGTCAAGGGGGTCACAGGAACCTATTGTGCAGGACAGAATAACACTGAAGTTAGGTGGTCTGTCTGAACTTTTGAGGAGTATAGTGCTGGCCCTCAGTTGACTGTATAGAGACCAGATTCTAAGGAAGAATTAGAGCAATTAGTCCTCATGAAAGAGCAGGGACTAGTGGGTGGTGAGGAATGGTGTGGTTCCCATCACCTGTAAAAGCAGAGAGAACAGGAATTTTTCATAGATGAGAAGACAGGTATGAGGAAAAGAGGAGGAGTCAAGGCAGATGGAGAGAGCTAAGAAAGGCACACTTTGAAAAGACGCAGGTTTCGTTTAGACATTGCTGATGTCAGCATTCCATCACAAAGTGAAAGAAACCCAGTGGAATGATCTATCTCACACTGCTAGGGTATGGGCCATATCAAAGTAGTGAAGATCAGCGAAGAATACACAACAAATGTGCACTCATTGTCTTATTTAGTCCCGCAGAACAACTTTATGAAAATATAGACAAAATTCCTATGATAAATGTCTTGGGGTCACTTTTATTTCACACATCTAAAAGTCACAGAATGATCTCCTGTTTATTCATTCTTATGTCTCTGATCACTTATATTGCAGTCTTAACATAACCTCTCTGTGTATACTGATGCATGACAGACAGCACACAGATGGATACCTCGGATGTGCTGACGGTCCATGGATGGTCTCAACGCTTCCCTGAACCGTCGGGATCTCTGTTCCATAATGAGCTTCTGTTGCTTTCAGCGGCTGCTCTAAGGCGTTCACAGGGCTCTCTAACCCCTGAAGCTCCTTTTCATGTTCTTCACTGTCTTCACTCTCTGGCAGAAAAGACAACTCACTCTCATGACGGATGTCTGTGTCATAGGAACAGAACCAAAGGCACACTATGATCCAAGTTTCTTGGTAACAAAGAAGAATTACTTGTGTGTACGAAGAATACTTGTGATTCTTTAAAAACATGCTTTTAGTGATAACTTTTTCTTCTCATGAAAAACCCAGTGTGATTCAAGACCACTTTTTCTATCCTCCTGTTTGTGGAATCACTAACTCTAACAAGTTTACGTCATTAAGTTTCAAACCGTTTAGAAACATAGAGTGTGAGAAATGATAAGGACAAAAGAGATGAGGAGTCTGGACATTCACTTTAAACATGAGAAAACTGAACAAGAAAATGACCATGAGAGGTCATCCAACTACCACAGGGTTTTAAGGAAAGCACATTTGTAAACATTGGGTATAAAAGTACTGTAACATGTTCTACACTTAAAATTTACCAATGCTCTCTAAACCAGCCTGAGAGCGAACCGACAAAATCCCTGATTCCTCTTCTGCCACATTTTCCTCTGCAAACTCAACTTTCACACCATCTGTTTGCTGTTCGTGAATCTATTGAAAACAGAAGAACGATGGCATAAATATCCAATCCAGGACTTTGAAATCTATATTAAAACAATTGAAGAACTTTGCACTAAGTTTTTTTTCAATCCCCTTCACCTGTGTTGCTCTGAAACAATCAAACACTTTTTGTTTACTTTTGACAAGTGACTCACTGTCATACTCATGGGAAGGAAACTGTATTAGCAATGCTCTTTTATACTCACAGAAATGTTCACTTTTCAGTAACAAATGTTTCACAGAAATTTAAACTGAAAGCCCTTTGAAACTTTAGTGCAAGCAACAGATTTTTATTATCAACACCTGACAACATAATTTTTATTTTTCCCTGGATGATGGGTTTTGTTGGACATGCAGATTATTAAATTTTGGGACTGTGTGTTTTTGTAATGAGCAGTATACATGAAGACAAGGCAGAGGACGATTACAAAATCAGCTTAAGGGTACACACACACACACACACACACACACATACACAAAGAGAGAGAGTATGTGTGCATCTATGTCCTCAGAGGGCTCATTAACTAGCTGAGGAAATAATACCATTTGAGAAGCAACACCTGTGAAGTCTGAATACAATGACAGTGACTGAAATGCATCTGAGCAACTTGGGAAGAAGCCAGATTTGACCTGGGCGTTAATAGTTTACAGCTATGACTTTCTGGAAAGGCTCTGTGAGATGACCTATGCTCTAAGGAGTAAAAACAAGGACCTCTTGACAGGGGCTTATATTGGATGAAAAGGGAAAAATAAAGCTAGTTAAGTAAAGTACATCTAGATTATAAGGGGAAAGGTTCTTGACTTGCCGGAGAAGAGGAATAAAGGATGCTATGAAAACCACTCAGTAACAGGAGAAAAAGTGTTCTAAGAGGCTATTTTCATTGGTCACTACTCTATTAGGTGTCCTCTACCACATGTCTACCTCCTGAATGTTTTTTTTATTTCCTGCTTGTGTGTGTGTGTGTGTGTGTGTGTGTGTGTGTGTGTGCGCGCGCGCGCGCGCACGTGCACATGCTTGTGTATATACAATGTATATGGGGGGGTGCATGGGCAGGAAAGTCAGAGGTCAGCAGCAGATGTTTTCTCTTTCAGTTTCTCAGCACATCTGGAACTTTTGTATTAGGCTAGACTGGTTGGCCAGCAAGCCCCAGGGATCCTCCTGTCTCTACCTCCCTCAAATTGGGATTACAGGACACGCCACCTTTGCTATGAGTTTGGAGGGATTAAACTCAGGTCCATTTCTTGCACAGCAAGCACTTTACTGAGCAGTTCTCCAGTGCCCTGAGGACACGTAAACAGGGGAATCTTACCTCTTACTTCTAGGGGAAATAATAAAAACCACCAGACAATATAACTTACAGTCTAATACTTTTATATCTTTGCTCAATTCATTCATAAATACCTACTGAGCCTTTACCATTTGCAATCCAAGTGCTGTGCTAACAGGAAGGAATAAGCACAGAATTCTCTGATTTAAAAGTTTGGACTCTTATACATTGAAGATACCAGGGAAGGCCTCACCCTCCCTGGGTAGTAGAAAGGGGATGAGAGCAGGGGTTGGTGAGGGGCAGGGGAAGAGGGGATGGAGGGGGAACTGGGATTGACATGTAAAACAAGACTTTCTAATTTAAAGAAGAAAACTGTATATATACAAAAAAAGAAAGTTTGGAGTCTTGTGGAAGAGATAGATCAATAAACAATTATAATACAATGAAAAGTAATGAGATGCAAACATATGCTTAACAGAGAGCTTTGAAACATGAAAGAGAGAAGGCTATCCAGGCATCTGCACTAAGAGAAGCTCAGAGAACAGAGGGAAAAAATGTCTAAGGCTAGGAAGGCAAGAAATGATGGCACAAGAAAGTGACGTTTAAACCAATAGTAACAAGAAACAGGAACAAGTAAGAAAGACCGGAGGAGAATGGGTACCACTAGGAAAAGGAAAATAATTCAACAAAGCCCAGGAGTGAGAGTTTCAGTTCCTCTGCCTGACCTGGTGTAGTGCTGTCCTGACCTGATACTAAAGGACCTGGCATGGTCTGTGTCACAGCTGTGGTAGCATATAAGGTGTGTTACTTTTGTTTGTGCTGCATTTATTTAACCCTGTGAAGCTGTGTTACTGTGTCTGTCTTAAACCCCTTGTGGTCCTAATAAAGAGCTGAAAGGCCAATAGCAAAGCAGGAGCAAGGATAGGAGGGTGTGGCAGGCAGAGTGTAATCAGAAGGAGAACTGTGGAGGTGGAGCAGCAGGAGGTCCAGGAGAGGAGGACATCAGGGCTCAGCAGCCCATCCACCCTGCCACCCAGCCAGGAAGCTGCAGGATAAGAAGGAAAGTAAGACAAGCAGAAGTAAGAAGGATAAAAGCCCAGAGGAAAATGTAGAAGAGCTAAAAACAGCCAACGTAAGGCCAGGCCCCCATCACTAAGAATAAGTCTGAGTCTGTGATTTATGTGGGAGCTGGATGGTGGCCGTGCAAAAGCCAGAAGAGTAAAAGAGCAAAAGCCTCACACAAGGCACAGATAACTGGCAGTGAAAAACTCACTCATTACTCAATGTGCAGAGGAGAGTGTAGAGAGAGTGCTAGATGTCTGTCTTTACAACGGTCTGCTTATGAGCTTTTCTCTTGGCAGTAATTGAGAAACCTAGCAAAGAGCTCTCTATGCCAGTACAGACCTCTCCATGTGCTAGCATGGGCAACATTGCTGCATAGAAAAGCACTAAGGTCTAGTCCATGCTAACACGTGTGGAGGCTGCTTATCTGCACTTGATAGAAAAGTTTGGACTCCTAGATGTGAATGTGCACTGTGGGTACACAATGTTAATGTGTTATTATACTCATACTGAGTACATGTGCACCTGCTTCCTTTGGGACTCTGGCCATGCATCATTTCAAGTCCTTCCAAGGATGCCTTTGCCTGTGTGCTTTTGTTGTGATGGGACCTCGCCCTATATACAACTAAAAATCTTGAACATTTACCTAAACCTTTTAACAGAACTGAATGCCAAAACTGTCTCAAATAAATGAAGACGTCTTTTGCCATATTTTTCTACAACTTGAAAATTAGGATAGACAATTAGAAATTCAACAGTATGTGCTTCATTTCTGTGATATGGCTATTAAGTTATATTATATTGTACATGTCATCTTACCTGATTTTAAGAACACATTATAAAATAACTATAGCAGAAGAAAACTGACACAGGTGATACTATGTAATAATATGAGTTATGTACAAACAACTAATCATCTTCTTTAAAATATAAAAACAGACCCATTGCCTTAAGAAATATGACATGTAATAGGCTGAGGGTATAGTTCATTGATAGACTACTGTCCCACAGAGTGCCTTTGTTCAAACTCCAGGAAACAAAAAGAGGGAAGGTATCTACACAATTAAATACAATTGCTTCATTTGCTTAATACATTCATATACACTTCATCATGACTCAGAGTTACATATTACTCAGTTTCTTCAGCTGACCGATATAAATGTTCTAAGAGAAACATATAAATGGTTACTGATTTCTACTAGCCTTTTCTTTTTTAAAATATTTTTAATTTAGGTTAGAAACAATCTTGTTTCACATGTCAATCCCAGCTCCCTCTCCCTCCCCTTCTCTCCCCCTCCCCACCAGGTCCCCCAGTCCCCCACCCAATCTCCACTCCTATTCCCAGAGAGGGTGAGGCTCTCCATAGTGGATCTCCAGTAACTGTCACTTCATCCCCAAGAGTCCTGGATGAGAGAGCCTCCCATATTATGGGATGGGCACTCAAAGTCTATTTGTACACCAGGGATAAATACTACCCAAGGCCCCATAGATTACCTAGGCCTCCTCACTGACACCCACATTCAGGGGGTCTGGGTCAGTCCTATGCTTTCCACACAGTCATCAATATGGGTTCCAAGAGTTCCCCCTTGTTCAGGTCAACTGTTTCTGTGGGTTAAACCAGCCCAGTCTTAACTCCTTTGCCCATCAGTTCTCTCTTTCTGACACTGGATTCCAGGTCTACTAGCCTTTTCTATGTTCACTTATTTTAGAATTTCTTGACTGACAGAACAGCAGATAATAAAATAAATGCAAATACCATATTTTCTACCTCACAGACCTTGCTTAACTCCATCTGCAGTGTCACAAACTTGTTGTGTTCATCTGTGACTTTATACAGAAGGTTTTGAATGGCATCTTGAAACTCTGGATGAAAAACAAGCAATTATAATCATTTTACTTCACTGTATAAGTTTACCTTTATAGAAATTATGATTTACCTAACTACAACTTTAGACAATCACCTTGTAGTAATAAAATCCATATATCTAGTCATAAATTTTTTAAAACATCATGACTGCAAAATAAGTAGCATAACATTAACTTGAAAACTTCATCCCAAGATGAAGCTTGTAATTACTTGTTGGCAGGTTGTTCATTACCTATACAAATAAATATACTGGGAACATACAACTGTGAAGGAACACCAAGAAATTCAAGTTGGAATTTGTTAAGAACAAAAGAACTCCTAAAACCACGAATGAAGAAAGTTATGTCTTTCTTTGTTTAGCCATGGGTGGCCTGGAATTACTTTGCAGACCCAAAGGCCAAGGACTCACAGAGATCCACCTGCCTCACCCCTGAGCATGCCGCCACACCTGGCAAAGGATATTTCTTAATGTAGCTCACTCCTCAATGATTTTGTCATTCACTTTTAAAATTATGAACCATTAATTTTAACAGTAAACTCAGTACTTCCTTTAAGACTTTAAAAGAAACTACAGTAAGAACCGTTAACAGAAAGAAGTAGAAAAAAGAAATAGGTGGGAATACAGAAATAGAGGAGAAAGAAACAAGGAAAAATAGAATGTTTCAATTATCTACATTGTGTGAATGTTACACTACAAGGATTGAAAGTGTATATTAATTTACATAAATAAATTTCATGCCTAAAAATAAGATACTAAGATGGAAAATTTATCTCTAATTAAGTTGTGATTAAAACTAAGTTTATAAGCAATTGACTTACACCAAGTGAATAGTGTTTAACAGTATGGTAAGGTTTTTACCTTCAACTTGGTATCTATATTCTTGCAAGGTCACCCTTGAAATTGCATGGTATACAAAAGAATTCACTTTCTCTTCTACATTCATTTCACAGTTTAAAGGACAACAGTGTTCATCAAGAAAAGCATGCATCCTCTGTTAACAAAATTGAATTTTTTAAATTAAAATTTTGATTTCTAAATATTATTAAAACATCATTAGCCTAAAGGTAAAAGGTCAAAAGAGTATGAATGGAATCTTAATTCCCTCTTCTTTCACATATGAAATCCATCTGCAGAAAAACCATGTTTCTCTTTGACATTAAATTATTCTTTTATCAGTAAAAGATTAATAATTTTAATACCTAACATGATTTTTTCTGGTTCTTGTTAATATTGAATATATCATGAAGTGTAGGTGTTTACACCCTAGCATGGCTCCTACTCCTACTTTGAAAATATCTCATGACTATATCAACTATCCTGGAACAAACATCACAAGGGGAGAAGTTCAAAACTGACAATTAGAGAGGTCTCCCACACCTCTCTGCAAAATGATAATCTATCAAGGGAGAGATTATACTAGTGGCCTTTTTATAATATGCAAGCATGTTTTCTGTGGCCTGTACAAACACAAAGTTAAAAATATCCTGCACAGTGTTCTGCAGAGCAACTGATAACCCCACTATCGTTTAAAATACCATTTCATGTTCTGTGATTTGATAAGACATCTAAGTTAGTTTTGATTTGAAAGATTTAAAAGCCAATTGTTTATTGCTACTATTTCTTGCATTTTTAAAAGTTAAACCATATATTAACTTCTCAACATTTTAACCCTCGGCACCCTCAATGAACAAACTGTGTCCCAGAAAGGTTAACTATCACCTCTCTGACAAGAGCAATGCTTATGCCATCTGCTCTGCTGGAGATGAAACTGATCTGAGTTTCTTAGTCCTTTTTCTGTGCTGACATAGATTGAATCCAAGACCTTAAACATAACAGGCAAGCACTGATTCACCAAGTCACATCCCCAGCACTGATTCCTTTTGTTCCCAAATGGCTATCAGAAAAAAAGCCAAGTGTTCATTTAAAGCTTAGAACTCAGGAATACTTTTTAAGTACACTTCTATATATAAGGGATTCAGGAAAATCCACTTGGGTGGATAGTTCTGCTCAGTGAATCATTAGCTATTTAAACTTGGGCACCTCTTGTCCAAAACCACTTTTAAAGTAACATCTTACCTTTGAAACAGAGAAGCACTCCTCAGACACTGCCTTTTGAAGTCGTCCAATGAGCACCTGTACAGGCTCTTTGTCTTCACCTAGCAGAAGATACAGCACATGTAAGCCAATCACTGTACATGTGTAAGTAAAACTGTCAGAGTTAACTGTTCCAACTGCAAGCTTCCCAAAAACAAGACACATTTTAATTTCTTCCAAATTTATTTTCCTTTGTGCAATGTAACTGTCTCAAAGGGTGTAAACCAGTGACCTACACTCCAACACAAGAAATACATCCGTATCCTATCCATTAAATCCATCAATGCAAACATCAAACAAAACTTCCACAAATGAGTCTTCACTTTTTTACACAGTGGTAGGGTACCTTGACTAGTATGTGCAAGCCCTGAGTTTCAGTCCTAGTGCCACACACACACAAAAATCAATCCATTAATTAATTAATTAATTAACTTAAAAATGTATTCCATTCTCTTCTCGTCTTTTCAGAAACAGTGATCATTACTCACTAAACCGCTTTATTACCTATTAATAGAATAGCCAACCACCTGTCAATAGAAAACACTGGACAAGCTATCTGAAGACTACATCAATACAAACAATACATGCAAATACAAGTAAAATCTTACCAAATTAAAAAACCAAAGAAGTCTTGGAATGAAAACCTGGCATCCTTCTTTAAATGACTTTTGAAATCTGACTTTTTTCAGCACAGAAATCCTACTGGAGACTTCAAAGGCACCCCCATTCCTAAAGGTAAATACCTAAACATGAGAAAGGCAATATACAGTAACCCAACACCCAACACCAAACTGAATGGAGAGAAACTCAAAGCAAAACTGAAATCAGGGACCAGGCTGTCCAGTCTTACCATATCCATTCAACGTAGTACTCGAAGATCTAGCTATAGCAATCAGACAACAAAAGGAGATCAAAGGAATACAATTGGAGAAGAAGAAGTCAAAATCTTGCTATTTGCTGATGATATGATAGTATTTATAAGTGAAATTCTAACAGAGCACTCCTACAACTTATAAACAGAATACAAGATTAACTAAAAAATATCAGTAGACATCGTATATACAGATGACAAACAGACTGAGAAGGAAATCAGAGAAACATCACCCTTCACAGTAGTCACAAATAACAGAAAATATCTTGGGTTAACTCTAACCAAACAAGTGAAAGACCTGTGTGACAAGAACTTCAAGTCTTTAAAGAAATAAATTAAAGAAGATATCAGAAAATTGAAAGATCTCCCAAGCTCTTGGACAGGAAAGATCAGCATAGTAAAAATGGCAATTCTACCAAAAGTAATCTCCAGATGCAATGCAATCCCCATAAAAATCCCAGCACAATTCTTTACAGACCTAGAAAGAAAAACACTCAACTTCATATGGAAAAACAAAAAACCCAGGATAGCCAAAACAATCCTGTACAATAAAGGATCATCTGGGGGCATTACCATCCCTGACTTCGAGCACTACTATAGAGCTATAGTAATGAGAACAGTTTGGTATTGGCATAAAAACAGACAGGTGGACCAATGGAATCGAATTGAAGAGCCCTATATCAACCCACACACCTATGATTGCCTAATTTTTGACAAAGAAGCTAAAAATATAAAATGGAAAAAGAAAACATATTCAACAAATGGTGCTGGTATAACTGGCAGTCAACATGTAGAAGAATGCAAATAGATCCATATCTATCACCATGCACAAAACTCAAGTCCAATTGGATCAAAGACCTCAATATAAATCCATCCACACTGAAACTCATAGAAGAAAAAGTAGGAAATACATTTGAATGCATAGGCACAGGAGACCACTTCCTAAGTAGAACATCAGTAGCACAAACTCTGAGAGCAACAATTAATAAATGGAACTTCCTGAAACTGAGAAGCTTCTGTAAAGCAAAGAACACCATCAACAAGACAAAACAGCTCCCTACAGAATGGGAAAAGATCTTCATCAACCCCATATCTGACAGAGGGCTGATCTCCAAAGATCTCAATCAACTAGAAATCAAACTACCAAATAATCCAAGTAAAAAATGGAGTACAGACCTAAACAGAGAATTGTCAACACAACAGTCTCAAATGGCAGAAAGACACTTCAGGAAATGCTCAACATCCTCAGTCATCAGGAAAATGCAAATCAAAACCACTCTGAGATTCCATCTCTCACTGATTGGAATGGCTAACGTCAAACACACCAATGACTGCTGCAGTTTTTCTAGTAGTTTAGTTTTAAGTTGTAACTCCTGAGTTTCCTGTTCAAGTGTATGCTTTTCCTTTACTTTGAGTTTGAGGATACCAATTTCTTTATTAAGCTCATTAATCTGGAGTCATTTGTTCTGATTTGAAATCAATACGTGACTGCTGTAAAACTCTTAGCTCAGAAATTTCTAAAGTTAGCTGATTCTGCTTACTTATAAAGTTGTCTTTTTCCCACTGCATAATTTCAATCTTCTTATTCATCTCATTTTCTAACTCTTCTATCTGATGCTTGTGGTGAAGGGCCAAATTCTCCTTAAGTTTTTCAACATTTATTTGATGTTCAACTTCTAGATCGTCTTTCAATTTGTAAAGATCTTCTTCATGGAGGAGGAGAAGCTGCATCTTGGCTTCTTGGGACTCTAACATGCTGTTTACTATCTCATTCTTTTCTTTTTCTAGCATTTCAAGTTTTATTTGGTACTTTCTAATTTCTTTCTCATGTTTACACTCAAGCTCTTTCTGGAAATCAGACATAGCAGCCATCTCAGCTTTCAAGTCTTCCACTATGTCAAGGGAATTGTGTACATCATTTTGTATTCTTTCCTGTTCAGTTGTTTTGTTATGAGCTGTGGTGATCTGGTCTCTTAAAAAGTTGCATTCTTCTAAAAGATCATTGAACTGTGATTGAAGCACATCTTTTTCTCTCTTAACTAGGCAAAGCTCTTTGCTGAGGTTCTCTTTTTGAGAAAGAGTATCTTGTAGTTTTACATCCTGTCCATTTATAATCACATTCAATAGGTCTAGTTGCTCTTTATACTCTTTATATATATTGCACATGCCTAGTGTAGTACGTGCATATGATGCCAAGATAGTTTCCATTTCACCTTCATGGTGGGATTTAAGGTCCTCCATCTTAGATTTGTTTTGTCTTATTAATTCTTCCTTCATGTGCATTATTTCTCTTCCATACATTTCATCTAGCTCCACTTGGAGGTGATCTACTTTCCTCCTTGTTTCTCTCTGTGTGCTCTGCTCTTTGCCAGTGTCTGTATGGTTATCTTTGTAATCTTTCTTCTGGAGTTCTTCTACTCTCCCCTTGACCTCTTCAATTTCTAAAATGTAGTGTTTCTCTTTCTCGTTACAATTGGCTAGCTCCAGTTTTAAGCTTTGGGTCTCTTGGTCCTTTTCTCTAAGCTGTTCTTTTAAGTCTCCTACTAATTTATCAGAAGTTTCCAACTCATTCTGCAGGGCAGCAGATTTATTTCCTTCTTCTGTTATTATTTCTTGTAAAATGTCAATGATGGCCTGTTTTTCTAATACTTGGAAGTTGTTATATTCTAATTTTTTATCTTGTTCCTTCAGAAAGAAATAAAAGGAAAGTATAACAATTTCTGGTAACTTTGTTGCTTAACTATATTAACAAAGGGCAGATGGAAGTCACATTTGTACATCATTCTATAAAAAGTAACTCTTGTGCCCACCCTCAATTGTCCCCATGATAAGGCTTGTGTACCTAGACACATAGGAGCAAACAAGAATTCTAGAGCAGCTCCGACCTTCTTAGGAAGAAATACTGAATTACATTTTCTGTGATTAAAATTTTTAATTAAGGTTGGTGGGAACCATCTGGGAGAACAGGAAAGAATATGATAATAATATATTGTATGAAAAATTTTAAAATAATAAAGATGTA